CAAAGGTGGACAGGTCAGGGAACAGGTACGGCAGCATGAGGCGGCTAAGCTCGGCTGTGGCAGGCGAGGAGTAGCGAGCAACGACAGCATCGTACAGGGCCTTAGCGGATTTGCAGTCGCCAAAATGCTCGAGCTCAGCTAACGGCAGGTGACTGCGAATGGCTAGGCGAGCAGCTGCGTCACGAGTCTGCCAGTGGGAACGAACACTAAGCTCAGCTGTGGCAGGAGGGGCAGGTGCAGCACCAGACGCGTAATCATAGAGCGACACATGCTCCTTGCTATCGCTCAGAAGGAACAGCTGCAGGTCATCCAGCCAAGTGGCGAACTTCACAGGGCGGCCCTCAGCATCGAACGACAGCACTCGGATGGAAGCCATAGCGACAGAGCAAAGGAAGCTGCCACAGCGCTGCAGGTAGGTAGCTCGGCGGGAAGCGCGGAGGGCGGGCGACACGGCGAGCGGGCAGTGCAGGGGTCGGGCTACGAAGCGGGCAGCGCGGTGGGCAGGCGGCGCTGCAGGCGGGAAGTGCGGCGGGCGGGCTGCGAAGCGGGCAGCGGGGCGGGCGGGCGACGCGGCGAGCGGGCAGCGCGGCGAGCGGGCGACGCTGCGAAGCGGGCAGCGGGCGGGCGGGCGACGGTGCGAGCGGGCTGCGAGGCGGGCGGGCCGCGAAGCGGGCAGCGGGCGGGCGGGCGACGCTGCAAGCGGGCAGCGAGGCGGGCGGGCGACGCTGCGAGCGGGCAGCGAGGCGGGCGGGCAACGCTGCGAGTGGGCAGCGGGCGGGCGGGCGACGCTGCGAGCGGGCAGCGCGGCGGGCGGGCGACGCTGCGAAGCGGGCAGCGGGCGGGCGGGCGACGCTGCGAAGCGGGCAGCGGGCGGGCGGGCGACGCTGCGAAGCGGGCAGCGGGCGAGCGGGAGACGCTGCGAGCGGGCTGCGAGGCGGGCGGGCCGCGAAGCGGGCAGCGAGCGAGCGGGCGACGCTGCGAAGCGGGCAGCGGGCGGGCGGGCGACGCTGCGGGCGGGCTGCGAAACGGGCAGCGCGGTAGGCGGGCGACGCTGCGAGCGGGCGGCTCGGCGGGCGGGCGACGCTGCGAGGGGCGCGCGAGGGCGCTAACGAGAGGCGCACGAGGGCGCGAAGGAGGGCGCGCGAGGGCGCTAGCGAGGGCGCGCGAGGGCGCTAACGAGAGGCGCGCGAGGGCGCTAACGAGGGCGCGCGAGGGCGCTAACGAGGACGCACGAGGGCGCTAACGAGGGCGCACGAGGGCGCTATGAGGCTAGGGCACGGGGTAGCGTGGTAACCGCATGCGAGCGGTGGTGGGCCCTAAAAAAAAACGATCGGTAGGTCCTAGGGACCTCCCGCTCTGAATACCATGTCAACTGAACTAGGCAAGAATGAATGAACTAGCAGAAGTTTGGGTACAAATATGAAACCCTAGTTGGGGTTGTACCCCATATTGGCTACCCCACTACAGCCTACCAACATATAACACATTACAATTTAACAAGAGGCAGCCAGTCAGGGGCAGGAGCACCAACCCCGTAGACCAAACGAACCGTGTCAGTGAGCTGAGCAAAGCACTGACCAGGGGGGTGAAACCGGCCACAAGGGTGGCCACGACGAGTGCCTGTCAGAACCTGGTAGGTGCAGGGAGTGTAAGCAGCACCGCGCTGGGTCTGACGCAGCCCCGACCCTGGAGCCAGCTGCTGCCGCTGCTGCTGCTGAGGCTGCTGGGAGGAGAGGGGCTGCTGGTGCTGCAGAAGCTGCTGCTGACGCTGAGCCTGGTACCACGCCGCTGCTCCACCAACCGGGGCAGGAAGTACAGGAGGCGACTGACGAACTCGGGCGTCGCCACCACCAGCAGGCGCAGTGGAGTCACCAGTCACTGCACGAGGCGCCTCTCCAGGCCCTGAACCTCCACCGCCGCCAGGCGCAACGCCACCTCCACTACCTCCGCCTCCACCTCCACTACCACCACCAGAACCGCCTTTCTTGCCACTCCTACCGCGGGACCGCGACGCAGTCGTAACAGCAGCTGCAGTCGCGTCAGTAGCGGCAGTGGCAAGTGAGGCAGTAAAGGTGGGTAACTGCGGGACTGTGCACCCGTGGAAGAGTGGGGGGGGCACAGCACCAGAGGCAGCGGCTACCGAGCGAAGGTTGCTCTCGACGTCCTTGAGTGCAGACTCAAGGACCTCGACGGTGAGCTCACTAGGGTGCTTCAGCAGAAGCGCGTCGCGAACGGAGGCAAGGCGGTCAGGGAGGCTAGTGGCGATGAAATAGATAGTAATCGCCATAGGGGGAGGAAGCAGTGCAAGCTGTGCCTCAGTGCAAGCAGCGCGGTAACTAGCGTCGAGCGAGCGGAGGTGAGCGATCAAGTCAGCAGAGCGCTCAAAAGACGCTAGGTCAGGAAACAGGAACGGGAGGAACAGGCGGCCAAGAGAGACAGCAGCGGGAGTAGAGTAGCGGGCCTTAATCGCAGTGAGGTACTCAGCAGCGGTGCGAACCTGAGTGAAGTGAACCTCCTCAGACTCAGGGAGGAGGCTGCTGAGCGCGATGCAGGCCGCAGCGTCACGTGACGTCCAAGCCGTCTGGTCAGCTCGCTGAGTGGCAAAGCGGGCTCTAGCGGCGTCGTCAGGGGCAGGTCCTAAAGGCGTAGGGTCGGGGGGCGCAGGTAGGGCACCAGTAGCGTGCGCCCAGAGGGTCTCGCCTGCCTGGACCTGACTCTCTAACAGACGGCGAGCACGAAGAAGCCAGACGGAAAAATCAAGAGGTCTACCGTCAGCGTCGAAACGAAGGACACGCTGAGTCGCCATAGTGAAAACGAACGCGAACGGAGAGGGAGGGGACAGCAGTAGGTGAGAGGCAAATTAGGGTTCGGCGGTACTCTGGGACAGGGGAGGAGCGGACGCCACAGCGGGCGTGACAGCGGGAGGTAACAGGGGACTAAGCAGCGGGGAACGGGAACGGGCGCAGCGGCGGGCGATGGCAGCGCGCTCGGCAGCAGGGGCCAGCAGCGCGCGCAGCGGGCGACGGCAGGGGGCGCAGCGGCGACGCGCGCAGCGGCGGGCGACGACGGCGGGGCCGCGGCGAGGCGCGCAGGGGGCGGGCGACGGCGGCAGGCGCGGCGGCGACGAGCGCGGTCGCGAGCGACAGTGGCGGGCGCTGCGGGACGGGCGACGCGACGGGGGGAGAGGGCGGGAGCGACGGGACAGGGGGAGGGCGACGCGACGGGGGGAAAGGGGCGGGTGCGACGGGACAGGGGGAGGGCGACGCGACGGGGGGAAAGGGGGGGGCGCGACGGGACAGGGGGAAGGCGACACGACGGGGGGGAGGCGCGGACGCGACGCGACGGGGGGAGCGCGACGCGACAGGGGGAAAGGGACGGGCGCGTCTCGAGGGGGGGGAAGGCGACGCGACGGGGGGGCGGTAACAGCTGGAACGATACGAACGAGAGCGTGGGTCGTTGCTAGGCTCGGTAACAGCTGGAACGATACGAACGAGAGCGTGGGTCGTTGCTAGGCTCGGTAACAGCTGGAACGATACGAACGAGAGCGTGGCTCGGCGCTAGGCTCGGTAACAACGAGAAGGAGACGAACGAGAGCTAGGATCAGGCTCGGGTGGTACGAACGGAGAACGGCGGAACGGGATCCCACAGGATCCTAACCTAACTGATACCATGTCAGAATGAAGAATGGATGATGCATTGATGTTGGTTGGGGTACATATAGCTAACCCTAAGTTTTGTACCCCCTAAGACAAACCTCACTATAGGCTACAACATTTGACACTGCCTGTGGCCCACAGGCAGGACAATGTCAGCAGGCATGCATGCATCCAGATTCCAGAAGACACCCAGTACATCCCACCAATAAGCAGAAATCCTCCTTGCACTCTTCACCCAAGTGTCGAGCTGTAAGGCAAGATCAACCACAACATGGCCGCTCCATAGACCCAATCCAGGCGCCTCTTGCGCAAACCTCTTAGCCGTTACAAGTACACTTCAGCACGTACGACCATCTACCCACTGCAGGTATCGCAAGGCAGCCTGGTAGTGCGTGTACGCACCAGCAACCACAAGGACATGGAAAATCTGATGGCTGTGTCCCGCAATGTCAAACTTCCCAGGCAGCCATCGCTCGGGAATCCTGGTGGCATAAAAGAGAGCTCCGATGCCGTACAACGCCCCCATTAGCAGCTCGTACAGTAGAGTTGTCACTAAAAACGGCTCATGGTGGTAAAGCAGCATGCCATGGAAGAATGGAACCACACCAGAGACTCCCAGTCCAAAGAACAGCCCTGCACGAAAGGCTCGAAACTTAGGTTTCTGAAACGCAGGGAGAAGAGAGACAGCTACAGTTCCCAAACCAGCAAGGGTGATCAGGACGAGGTAGGTGAGCTGCGCGTATGGGTGGCAGAGGAAGCCGTAGTAGACCGGCGGGTAGAAGGATGCGCAGATGAGGATGGCAATCCCAGCGTAGTCAAACCGCCAGATGATCTGAGAGACCTTCTTGGAATGGCAGCCCAGGAGGTGGCAGGTGCTGCTAGAGAGCAGGCAGATCATGGCGCCCGTGAGGAAGACAAAGAATGGCCACATGGCAATCGTGCGCTCAGTCTTCACTGATCTCAGCAGAAACGAAGGGCTGTCTGAAAGTGACTGCAGAAGAGCCATGGAATTCCGGGAGGAGTGTGTATGGGGAAGAGGGGAGGGAAAGAGGGAAGGGGGGGATGGGGTGGGGGTGAGAGTTAGTGGAAAATGGTTTCTGTGGAGGAGGAGAAGGGAGAGAAAATAGAACAGATGACTCAGAAGCAAGTTTGGAGCAGGTTTAGGATACCACGGAAGCAGAACGGAGGAAATGGCTAGAAAACTGAAAGGAGCAGGCATAGAAACCTTAGGCGCGTAAGACAATGTCTTCCCAGAACCAGCTGGTCAGGACAGAAATGCACAAAAGCTAGCAAGGACGAGACATCGGCTCACAAAGTGGTCACAGGGAGTGAGTATATACTTACGCAGTTGCCAAAAACGCTATGATCATTCCACAACGGGCTGGTGGGAAACGCCGGCGTGGATTCCAAGGCCGTGCTGGCGTAGCGATGGACACAGCCGTAGTACCACAGGAGAGCAGCCTGAACCTGCTGCAGCTTCGGAAGCTCTAGGTGAGGAAGCATCGCCTGAAGCTTCGTCGTGTCCAGGTCTGGTAGCTTCGACTTCATGACTGCCGAGAGCATGCTCTGCATCTCGTGCATGTTCGGAACGTGCGGCATGGCCTCGTAAATGGACGTCGAGATTCCAGAGATTCCAGAGAGCTCGACGTGTGGGAGGGAGTTGTACATGGCATGGAGATTCGGAAACTCCATGGAGGTAAGCGCGTCTCTTATGGGACGGAAATCCGGAAGTTCCATGTGCTGAAGATGTGCATGAATGCTGTCAGTGGCGTTGACCCAGGATTCAGGAAAATGGAGGTGGGACAGAGGGATCTCAACCACCTTCGGGAACTGCTGGGCTGTGTAGATGGTCAGGTTCAGGAAGAGGATAAATCCCATAAGATGCCTGCAACCAACCAGCCACAGCTAGTAAGCACAAGATGTCAATGAAACTCTGCAATCCAAAGTCGAGGATGAGGAAACGACTATTAAACTCGCGAAGCCAGTATAGCAGTCGAGAAACGAGAAGCTTAGCGACGGTCGGTATGACTTACGTCCAGATATTTCCGGTCTCGTTATGAATATGAAAGATGCTCCATAGGGTGTGTTTAAGAGGCCAGTTAGCTCGGTAATATCCATGAATGTACTCGTTGTCTTGGAGGTAGTCGGGAAGAGCACTAAAATCACAGAGCTTATACCGCTTCTTGACACGATACCACATGTTGCTGTGAGAGCAGCAACCCTTGTCATGGTGCGGAACACACGATTCAGTAGCTTCTTCCATAGCTGTTACTAAACGTGAAGCAAAATCTGCCTCTGATAAAGCTGAACGAGAGCTACGATGCTCCCGTTAATATTTCTAGGTTGGCTCAGCCAGCGGGATATTGGCTACGTCCGACGCGTGATCTGCGCTAAACAACCCGAACGCGTTCTTTGCTGCTGCGCAAGCACCACGATCAATCAGCAGCAGCGGCCATCGGGTTTATACGAGCACAGCAGCAATCAACCGCACGGCAATCAGCAGCACAGCACCTCGGCCATGGCGGTATCTTGCGTCAGGAAGAGGAATCGAGGCCAAGGAGGAAAAAGCCGACCTCACCAAACCGCAGCTTCGTTGCAGCCTTGGTGACCGCAGCTTTTTACCCTGGGCTCGAGCCTTGGTTTGGGGAAGATTGCGGGCAGGTAGGAGAAACAGAAGGGGAAGAAAAGAGTGAGCTGGCGGGAGGAGGGCCTCCGCGCTGCTTCTGTGGATGACACACTGCACAGAGGCAGCGCGAGAGTTGTGCGGAGTTCATGTCTGCGCTGGGGGCCTGCGCCTGCCTGGCAGGGATGTTTGCTTCGGCGACGGGGGACAATCACGTGACGAAACGAGTAAAAAAAACAAAATTTCGAGGGTGAAGGTCAATTGCACCAATAGAGGCGGACATTGCTGTTATCCAGGCTGACCGAAGGCGAATAATTGTGATGATCAAGCGGAACATGCATTTCGACAGCTGTTTGGTTCGGTTCGGAAACTGGTATGGTTTGGCGGACACAAAGGGGCACGGTTGGCTCGGGCGAGCGAGCAATCCCACCAAACTAGTGAAAAAGATCCTAGTCGTCAGCTGGTCACACTCACACAGTTCGTATGCAGCCACTCACCGCGCGTGCGACACATTGGTGGCTAGCGACTCGGCTCGAGGTAGGGTGCGCTGCTGACTCGGATATCCGGCTTCGGGGAGCCGATAAAGGCCGTGGACTGGGGCGTAATCCACGTCAGCTACCACAAATATCCCTGACGAGGTGTTTGGCTTTAACCTCTCAAATAAATGTACAGTAAACACTCTGGCTTCGGGCGAGGTCTAGAAACCCAAGCGAAATGACTAGCTTCTTTCACCACACTATTCTTGTAAATACCCTGAGAGCGTACTGCTTTGCAGACTGAGGTAATGCATACATAACAAGACGGCCTCTTAATGGTAAACCTACTATAAATACGGTCGCTCCGTCTGGCACCAGTAGAAAAGGCGCAGCTCTCAGCGCGGTCCAGTAACATTGAAGGCTTCGAGTGAAATTCCAGTAGTTGTGTTCTCCCAGAGGGAAGGGTTCTTAACAACAGCCATGAGGTCCTCTGCTCGCATGGCCCCAGCTTCAGCCTGGAAAAACAACAATGTGACGCAATATAGTTGAGTTTGGGATCAGCACGAGGAAATTCACATAGAAATAAGACTCGTGAGCCAAGTACAAACACGTCACATCTACCTTTAGAGGCAATGAGTGCATGCACGTGGCTGTGTGCTCCTTGCCCAACAAGAATACAAATTTTTATGTCCACGTACCTGCCACTGCTGCCACTTCTCCGTGAGTTCACTCCCAGCCACCATCTTAGCCACAACCGCCATTGTGGGTTGCTCAGCCGGGTCGTTCTTACCAATCTTTGCACTCAGCAAGCTGTTCACACAAAAAGCTACACACACACGCACACACAGAACCCTCACCTGCCACTGCTGCCACTTCTCCGTGAGTTCACTCTCAGCCACCATCTTAGCCACATCCTCCATCGTGGGTCGCTCAGTCAAGTCATTCTTCCCAAAAATACCACTCAACAAGCTCTTTCCACAACACATTCCATACACAAAGAGCCCTCACCCCACACCCCTCACCTGCCACTGCTGCCACTTCTCCGTGAGTTCACTCCCAGCCACCATCTTAGCCACATCCTCCATGGTGGGTCGCTCAGCCGGGTCGTTCTTACCAATCTTAGCACTCAGCAAGCTGTTCACACAACAAGCTACATACACACGCTCACACAGAACCCTCACCTGCCACTGCTGCCACTTCTCCGTGAGTTCACTCCCAGCCACCATCTTAGCCACATCCTCCATGGTAGGTCGCTCAGCCGGGTCGTTCTTGAGGCACAGCAGCGCCACCTGCAGCATCTTCTCCACCTGCCCCATGTCCACCGCCCCCTCGGGCTTCTTCACCTCTGGATCCACCAGCACGTCCGCCTTGCCCTCCACCAGCAGCCGCGATACCTGCAGGCAGGACGCACCGAGGGAGAGAGGGTGTAGGGCACAGAGAGGGAGAGAGTATATGGGTGGAAGCAAGAGCAGGCACAGCAGCGCCACCTGCAGCATCTTCTCCACCTGCCCCATGTCCACCGCCCCCTCGGACTTCTTCACCTCTGGACCCACCAGCACGTCCGCCTTCCCTTCCACTAGCAGCCGTGACACCTGGGGCACGGGAGAGGGTGAGATCATGGAAGGGAGAGAGTTTGTTGAGGCACAGCAAGGCCACCCTGCCCCATGTCCACTGCGCCCTCGGGCTTCTTCACCTCTGGGTCTACAAGCACGTCCGCCTTGCCCTCCACCAGCAGCCGAGACACCTGGGGGATGGGAGCAGGGAGAGAGTGAGAGCAAGGAGGCACAGCAGCGCCACCTGCAGCATCTTCTCGACCTGCCCCATGTCCACTGCGCCATGTCCATCTTCTTCACCAACACGTCCGCCTTGCCCTTCACCAACAGCCGCGACACCTGGGGCATCGAAAAAATGGGAAAATGGAGGGGGGGAAAATTGGAGCATCTTCCCTATCTGCCCCATGTCCACTGCTCCAACCGACGCACTCAATCCGTTTTCTGAAGAATCTCCTCAGCCTCAGAAGATTGTGAGCCCGTACATGTCCTTGCTCGACACAAGCTCGAGCAAGAAGCGGGGCTCAGAGCGAATCACGCACTCCCTGAGCAGAATCTCCTCTGCCTCTGGCACCACGGTGAGCCCGCACACGTCCTTTCCCGACACGAGCTCCAGCAGGACGAGAGTCGGGTATGGGGAGCCGAGCACACCCATCACAAGAAGAGGGGATCATAGCAACTCACCCAGTCCCTGAGAAAAATCTCCTGAGCCTCGGGCACGACAGTGAGCCGGTACACATCCTTGCCCGATACGAGCTCCAGCAGGAAGAGAGAGGGCAGGAGCAAGAGCGGAGAACACCCATAAGAGCAGCACAAAGGCTCAGAGCGACTCACCCAATCCCTCAGAAGAATCTCCTCAGCCTCGGGAACAACGGTTAGCCCGTACACGTCCTTGCCTGACACGAGCTCCAGCAGGAAGAGAGAGGGGGGGGGAGAGCTGAGAGCACCCCTCACAAGAAGAGGGGCTTAGGCTTAGAGAGACTCACCCAGTCCCTCAGGAGAATCTCCTCGGCCTCGGGCACCACTGTGAGGCCGTACACGTCCTTGCCCGACACGAGCTCCAGCAGGAAGACCCCGAAGGCATACACGTCCGTTTTCTCCGAACACTGCCCGCTCACAAAGTACTCTGGAGGGTTGGTTAGGGAGGAGGGCGGGTGAGGGAGGGGAGGGTAGAAGCAGAGGAGGAATTAGCACTGGGAAGGAGATGGGTATCTAGTGCTCGCTCACGAAGTACTCTGGCAGCAAGGAGGTGTAGCTGGTTGACTTTTGAGTCGACTCAAAAGTCAACTCTATTTAGTGATCGCTCACAAAGTACTCTAACAGCAAGGAAGAGGTGTACCTGCGCACTTCAAGCTGCAGGGTAACTGCTTCTAGGACGCACCAGAGGAGATGTGACCGATAGTGCCCTCGACAGCCGTAGTGGAACGCGTCCCATACACCACTCACCTGGGTCATAACACCCATTCAGACCCATTCCCTGCACAGCTGTACCTATCCTGCACCTACACGCACCAGGAGCAATGTGACCGATGGTGCCCTTGACAGCCGTGGTGGCATGCGTCTCATTCACGTCCATCTCCTTGGCAAGACCGAAGTCTGCAATCACTGCCTCGTCGTTCTCATCCAGCAGCACATTTGCAGCCTGGTGGGAAGGGGAACGGGAGGGTATAGAGCAGGGAACGAGCAGGGGAAGAATACAGCGGCCGTATGGCTCTCATCTCATGCACGCCCATCTCCTTGGCCAGCCCAAAGTCCGCAATCACCGCCTCGTCGTTCTCATCCAAAAGCACGTTGGCAGCCTGGCAGATGGGCAGGGGATGGGTAGGGGGTGAGTAGAGAGAGTTGCGAGGGCTTTCTTTAGCATCGCTATACCCTCCGCTGCACAAGTCTATGAACCAAAACCCACGCAAACAGACTTGGTACCTACCTTGATGTCGCGGTGCACCAGCTTCGGCTTGCAGTCCGTGTGCAGATAGCCTATCCCCTCCGCTGCGCCACGGGCCACCTTCATGCGCGTAGGCCAGTCCATGGGGTTACCCTCCTTGCCTGGCGAGCAAGAACGGACCAAGAAGGGATGGGAGGAAATGGGGTGGAAGTGGGTGGTGCAAACCTCTGTGCTTCTCCCCATGACATCTAGTGTGGGTGTTTGGTCTAGTGGCATGATTCTCGCTTAGGGTGCGAGAGGTCCCGAGTTCAATTCTCGGAACACCCCTTTCCTGCTGGTGGTTTCATTTTGCAGAATGCTTACAGTCAATTTTCACAATCATGCTCACTCCCACAAGTCAACCTCCCATTTCTGAACGTGTGTCATGGTTCTGGAAAAGAGGTGGAGCTTTGACACAGGCAACATTGCCGTTGGAGCAGAAGGGCAACACGAGCATGCCTTCGCCCCACTCCACACAGAAGCCCCTTGCACGAATGCACCTCCCACCCAGCTGCACCGCTCTGAACCCAGCCCGACCCTTTACTCACCCTGAGTGCGCGAGGCAACAGAGCCATTGGAGCAAAACGGCAGCACGAGCATGCACTCGCCGCGCTCCACACAGAATCCCTCGGCACGGATGAGGTTGCGGTGCACTGCCCGGCTGATCATCTCCACCTCTGATAGGAACTGCAGCTCGCCACCTGCGCGCTTCTCATCCTGTAAGGAAACGGAGAACAGAAAGAGGCAAAGAGAGGAAGGCAATGGTGCATGAGGGAACCCCCTTTGCCCCCCCCCACACAGAAGCCCTCGGCACGAACGAGGTTGCGGTGGACGGCCCGGCTGATCATCTCCAACTCTGATAGGAACTGCAGCTCGCCACCCGCCCTCTTCTCATCCTGTGGTTAGCAGCAGAGGTTGGGAAGGCAGAGAACAAGGCTGAAAGAGAGCAAGGCCCTGGCCACTCGAAAGCCCTCGGCACGAATGAGGTTGCGGTGCACGGCCCGGCTGATCATCTCCACCTCTGATAGGAACTGCAGCTCGCCACCAGCGCGCTTCTCGTCCTGAGAAAAAACGGAAATCAGGAAAGGGAGAAAGATAAGGGACGACAAGAAGACCTCCCTGGTGACTTTTGAGTGAGGTGACTTTTGACGACAAGAAGCCCTCAAAAGACCTCTCTGGCACGACCGACCAGAAGCCCTCTGCACGAGTGAGGTTGCACGGTGCCTTTGAGGCAATTTTCGAGTCGACTTTCGAGGCGATTTTTGGCTCGAGTAAAAAGCCTGGCATGGCCGACCAGAATCCCTCGGCAAAGGTGAGGCTGTGGTGCTTTTGAGACCCACCCACCTTGATCCTCTTGATCGCAACGAGCTTGCCGTCCTCCAGCTTGCCCTTGTACACCTTGCTGAACCCGCCCTCGCCCAGCAAGCCAATACCACAGCTCCAAAACTTCATCAACCCACATCACCGCACATAACCGCTTCCCACCTCCCCCAACTCTTTTGCACCTTAATCGCCACGAACTTGCCATCCTCCAGCTTGCCGGAGCCTCCCTCGCCCAGTGTTGTCAAACCCGTTGGTGGCCTTCTTCATCACGCCACATCACCACAGACCACCGCACATCACCACACATCACCGCACATAACCGCACACCACCGCTCCTCACCTTGATCCTCTTGATGGCAACGAACTTCCCATCCTCCAGCTTGCCCTTATACACCTTGCTGAACCCGCCCTCGCCCAGCACATAGTCCTCATCAAACCCGTTGGTGACCTATTTAACAACCTATTTCACCTCACAGCACCGCACACCACCGTTCCCCACTCACCTTAATCCTTTTGATAGCAACGAACTTGCCGTCCTCCAGCTTGCCCTTGTACACCTTGCTGAACCCGCCCTCGCCCAGCACATAGTCCTCATCAAACCCGTTGGTGGCCTTCTTCAGCTCCTCTGAGGTGAAGCGTCTCAGGGTTCCGAAGTGGCGCGATGAGATTTGGGCTGCAGTGGAGAAGGTGTGGGAGTGTGGGAAGCAGGGAGAAGGGAATCAGGGGGGCAGATGATGAAACCCATTTGTTGCCTTGTTGAGCTCCTCTCAGGTGAACCGCCACGGGTTCAAAAGCGGCGAGATGAGATTTGGGCTGCTGGGAGCAGTGGGGAGAGAGGAGGGAGAGAGAGAGTGGGGGTAGAGGGGAGACGCGATGAGGGGAGCTGGGCTGGCTAGTGCATCGGAACTCTCCTCCCCTCGCCCAGCACATAGTCCTCATCAAACCCGTTAGTGGCCTTCTTCAGCTCCTCTGAGGTGAAGCGTCTCAGAATTGCAAAGTAACACGAAGAGAACTGGGCTGCTGGGAACAGGAGGGCGAGAGTGAGGGAGCGGGTGAGGGAGAGGGTGAGGGAGAGAGTGAGCGAAAGTGAGCAAGAGAGTGAAGGAGAGAGTGAGGGTGAAGGGAGATATTTGGAGAGGAAAGGGATCATGAAGGCCATTGGTGGCCACTTTTCAGCTCGTTTGCTAGAAAGCACCTCAGATCTGGGCTGTTTCAAATTGGAGAACGTGGCAGACGAAATATGGAGAGCAATTGGCAGTAAGCAGAGCTGCTAAAAGGAGGGAACAAGGCCAACCCCCTTTATCATTCAAGCCTCCGCAAACACCCCTTCCCCCCCCATCATCACTCACTCTCCAGATCCTGCTCTAGGCGCCGCTCCTCCTCCTCCCTGCGCTTCCGTTCAATGTGCTTCATCACCACCATCGCCCCCGCAATCAGCAGCGCAATGAGCGCAGCACCCCCCACGACGCCACAGATGATGGCAACGACGTTGACAGAGGAGGCTGCTGCTGATGGGGGGGCCACCGCTACGGCGAGGGGCGGGTTGCAGCTGTGGTAGGGGACTGGGGGAAGAAGGGGGAGAACAGGTGGTGGGAAGAGAGGAAAAAGAAAAGTGCTTCATATCAGCAGCATGGCTCCAGCAATCAGCAGTGCAATGAATGCCGCACCCCCCACGACGCCACAGATGATGGCAACGACGTTGACAGAGGAGGCTGCTGCTGCCGGGGGGCCCACCGCTACGGCGAGGGGCGGGTTGCAGCTGTGGTAGGGGACTGGGGAAAAGGTAGGACAGTTGAGAGGGTGGAAACGGGAGAGCGGAGAGGAAAAGGGATGTGTTTGAGACGTATTGCTACCTGCGGGAAAGGGTGCTTCGCCAGCAACATGCGTGGGAAATCAGCGTATCGCGTACGTAAAACACAAAACACATATAGCGTATAGTTCGCACGCGTACCGTCGCACGCAAAACACATATTTCCTGACGTAAAAAAATGTAGTGATTACCATCCAGGAATTTCTCTTTACTAGCTCACCATTCCAGACACTATTCACTCTTTACCAACCCTGTCTCGTTGCAGACTCACGTTCAGGGCACGACTTGTTATAAGCTCACCTCACCATGTTGGCACGTTTTGTCATAAGCTTATCATCACCTCAAGATTCGTTATAAGCTCACCATCGCGACATGTTTCGTTGGGAACAACCAGGAGGCTGGTGTTTGCAAAGCTGCAGGGAGAGAGGCAATGGGAGGGAGGTGGAAGAGAGGCGTGGGGGGAGGCGGGGGGGAAGGGGGGAGAGATTGCAGGGGCCAAGAATGAGAGTAAGATAATGGTTGGTATAGGCACGGTGTGGGCAGGGTGTGAACGCACATAGGTTATATCCATTCATTGAGCACAAGTTACAGTGAGAATCGTACGTGCAGGTGCGGGCCAAAAACTCTATTGAAGGAAGTGCGCGCATATGCACTCATGGCATGGCATGGCATGGCATGGCATGGCATGGCACGGCATGGCATGGCATGGTATGCATGGTAGGGTGTCACGGCATGATATGGCATGGTACGGTATGGCATGGCGTACTCAAGGCATGTGAAGTTCCTCCAGCACGAGGGGATGGGACCGCGGAGAGGGTTGCCCATCACGTTGCTGGGGGAAGAGACAAGGGAGTGGGCACAACGAAGTAGGGGGTGTGTGGAATAGAAGAAGGGTATTTTGAGTCGACTCAAAACACACATGTCCAGCACGAGGAGATGGGCCCACGGAGACGGTTGCCCATCATGTTGCTGGGAGGGGAGAAAAGTGGGAGGCGGAGGGAGAAGAGGGGTGCGTGTGGGGAGAAACAGAGAAGAGGTTGTGTGTGGGGTGAAGAGGGGAAGAGACGAGGAGTAGAGGTCGAGGTTGCAAAGGACCTCAGACCGTCGCCCTGTGAGGCTGTTGCTTGAGTCCACTCAGAAACCACTTGGCTCACTCGATGTAATGCACTTCGTGCCACGACCGCTGTCAGGAGAGGAGAAGACAGCCAGGCCAGCTGTTTTCTGAGAATTCTGAAAAACCAACGTGGCTCGCTCAATGTAATGCACTTGGTGCTACGACCGCTGTCAGGAGAAGACAGCCAGAGCAGGTAAGGTGACACTAACAGCAAGGCAAGAGTGCACTCACACGCAGGTGAGGTTGAGGTTACAGAGGTCTTCGGACAGACGCCCTGTGAGGCTGTTGTGTGAGTTCACCCACAAGCCAGTACAGCACAGCACAATGGCTCACAGCAAAGCAAGGCGGCACTCCCAGTGAGACAGGACTGCACTCACACGCAGGTGAGGTTGAGGTTACAGAGGTCTTCGGACAGACGCCCTGTGAGGCTGTTGTGTGAGTTCACCCACAAGCCAGTACAGCACAGCACAATGGCTCACAGCAAAGCAAGGCGGCACTCCCAGTGAGACAGGACTGCACTCACACGCAGGTGAGGTTGAGGTTACAGAGGTCTTCGGACAGACGCCCTGTGAGGCTGTTGTGTGAGTTCACCCACAAGCCAGTACAGCACAGCACAATGGCTCACAGCAAAGCAAGGCGGCACTCCCAGTGAGACAGGACTGCACTCACACGCAGGTGAGGTTGAGGTTACAGAGGTCCTCAGACAGGCGCCCTGTGAGGCTGTTGTTTGCCACGTTGAGAGAGGCGAGGCTGGGCGAGAGCGCCAACTCACTTGGCTGGTAGAGGGGGATTGGGTGGGGGGGGGGGAGTGCAGGGAGGAATGGGTGGGAGGAACGGATTAGGCAGGAGGAGGACAGGAAGGGAAGGAGGGGAGGAATAAGGAGAGGAGCAAAGGAGGGGTAGTGGGAGAACAGGAGAACATAAGGAGAGGATGATTGCCTAAAGGCTACTGATTGCTTCGGCGCAGCAATGGAATTTGTTCCAACTCACTAAAGGCGCAGCATCGCAGAAAGGCAGAACATTGCGTGAGGCGCCCATGTGCTTTGATGCCAAACGCTGTCCTAGTGACTCACAAATGGGCCATGCAGTAGGTTTCCTGCAAGATTGCTGCTCCGGGCGACGCCATGGTGGGTAGGCCATGGTGGGAAGGCCATGTTGGGAAGGCCATGGTGGCGAAGTAGGGAATCACGCAGAGAGGGGAAACAGGTGGAGTGGGGGAGTGGAGAGGAGAGTGGGGAGTGAGGGAGTGGGGAGCGAGGGAGTGGGCAGTGGGGATGGAGAGATATGAGAGTATGTGGGTGGAAGTTAGTGGTCGAACAGGACGTGGGGAAAAGGGAGTAGGAGAAGGGGAGTGAGACGTGGGGAGAGAAGCAGGAACGCATAAAAAGGGAGGACGGCTTTCGACGGAGTAGTGCCAACAAGTAAAGGGAGCGTGAGACTTGAGGAAAATGACAGCAGCATATTCAAGCATCTGAATAATCATGATCTCAGTAATTTGATACTAATGAGAAAGACAGACTCGCAGCGCAGTTGGTTCTTGTGGGTGGACTCACAGCGTCTTGAGGAAGATGACAGCAGCAATGTCAAACGAAAAGGGACCCTTGAGCCTTGGGAAATTGCCAGTCACGTTGCTTGCGCTAAGGTCACTGCACAGCCACACACAAACACAAACACAAACACAAACACAAACCCACACCCACACCCACACCCACACCCACACCCACACCCACACCCTCACCCACACCCACACCCACACCCTCACCCTCACCCTCACCCTCACACACACCCATACCCTTAACCACACCACCATCCACACAACCGCAAGCCAATGGCATGAGTCACAACACAGTGTTTAAAAAAAGAGGGTACTTACAAAAGTATGTCACATGCAATTTGATCCCGCTTATAGCAGGAGCAACCAGGCAGGAACAACAAACACACCCTTTGGTGCTCCCGCTCGCTGCACGAATCAGTGAGTTACACGTCAGCGAGCCTGGCTGCCTATGCTGCACCTAATCCATACACCTTAGATGTACACGTCAGCCACGTACTTATCCATACACCCATACACGACTACTTGAATCTACATGTCACCACAACTTAACCGGCACCGCCCACACAAACCCACATCCGTACACTTCACTCCTCAGACGTACACGTCAGTCACGTAGTTATTCGCATTGCACGTCACCACACCTTATCCGCGCTGCTTACCACACCCCACCCGTATAACCTACTCCGTCAGACGTACACGTCAGTCACGTAGTTATCTGAATTACACGTTTCGCACTACACCTTATTGGCACTGCTCGCATCACCCCACCCGCACAGTCTACTCCTCGGACGTACACGTCAGTCACGTAGTTATCTGAATTACACGTCACGCCAATCCAGTTGCCAGTGGGGCATGGCGGTGCCACGTCAGCAGCCCACGCGTACGGCGGGAAGTTTGGTATGGCTGCTGCGAAATTGTTCAAGTAGGTTACTGAGTTGAGGGAGGAAGGGGGTTGGGGGGGTGTGGGAAAGGAGGGAGGAAGGTTTGAGAGGAGAGGGGGGGTGACGACGTAAAAAAGGGAATGTGAGGTGAGAATAAGACGGAAAGGAACGGAACGGAGGAAAGAAGGTAAGTAGGAGGGAGGGAAGGAAGACGGAGGGATGGAAGAGATACGGGCTAGCTTATAAGTGTTGCTACGACAAGATGACGCTCCGGAAAATGCAAGTTTGACAACAAGCAAGGAAGCTTGAGCAATTGAGTGGAGTGCCGAGCGTGTTACGCTTCTCAGTAATTCGAGAGAGGGGTGTCGAGCTCAGTGCAGTTGTGATATGTGTAAAAATTGACTATGGGGCGGAGAATCGGGTGTCTTACTGTCGCCGCGGTAGAACTCGAGAGGAATGTCGAGCTTTACAGCTTGCGCGAGCTGTTGTTGCTGAGGCAAAATCAGCGGAGCCAGCACCAACACAAGCGACACGAGCGGGATGTTCCGGCAGCTAATGGAAGTAAAACTCAACATGGTAGATACTGTGTGCGATTTAGGGATACTGCGCGAAGATTCAAGCGATTCCGCGTTCTCTTGATATTATTTGCACAATCAAGGCAGAAAAAGCGGGCATTACAGCAGCGAATGCACTCGTATTCGACGGTCGTGAAAGAGATAAGATATTTACATGGAAAAGACACGCATTTCTAGACTGTCGGTTCGCGGAAGGCCTTACTCGTAACCTAACGTATTCAGTACCAGTGCCTTCACTCATAACCTAACGTATCTCACGTGGAGCCGCGTAAGAGCTATCAGGAGGGGGTTATCAGGGGAGGACGGAGGGGTCTTGTTCTTGAAATAAGCGGGGGTTCTGGAAAGTTGGACCGAATTTCCGTCCAATGTGGTTGGTTGGCAAATGGTTGAGTGCTCTCCTGCGTCCACCTGGAAATTGAAAGAACAAATGGGCTCTTACATTGGCAACGTTTCCAGTGTCGATTGGTCATTCACTTTATTAAAAAGCCCGTACAGCACACACCGCCACCGAAGGTCAGCCTGGAAAAAAATGTTTGAACCGCAACTTCGGTTGAGAGCACGAAGCAAGAAAGACGGTTGTGCCAAAGAGGGATGCCGCCTCTCGCGGCCAAAGAGGGGTTGGCGTCAGAACCAGGGTGCACCTCTGTTGGCGGGAAATGGTGTTACTGTATTTGCGGGAAAAGCTCCCCTATTATATACACACGCGTGACGTCATCACATGCCGCCCCGCCCGCCCTGGCACAGAGGGAATTGGGGCAAATCGGAAAACCCGCGAAATCCCTCCGGGCCCCCAGAAATTCCCGGCTGACCAGGCCGAAAAACCCTCCAAATCCCGCGGGTTCAATGTCGTCAACTTATGACAATATATATGTCAGCCGTAACAGTGGAAATTGGGGGACATTTATCTAGCACTGTTCGACGTACATTGGCCAATGGCCGTCGAGCTCCGTACACCCCCGACAACACTGGTTACACCGGCAGCATGTCGCCTACACGGTCGCGCTGACGGTCGACGGTTGCGAAACACGTTTCGCAACCGGCCGACGGTCGCAATCGACGGTGACGTCAACTTCCGTCGACCTGTCGCCTCGTCGGTGGAGCGAACTGTCGCTGTCGGATGGGCGACGGGTTACGTCAGTCGCAATCAAACGGTCACGCCAACAGGTGACGGCCATGCGAAATGTCACGGTTTTGAGCATCTATATGACTGTGAACATCAGCCCAACCACGGTATAAACCTCCAACGAGAATTGTAGCATCACATAATATTCAGTAGGCCTAGGTTTAGGGAGGAATGGTAGCTTACGGTTTACTGTGATGGAGACCGATCCGTCGACGACAGCGCCTTCCCGGCAGGCGGACCTAGGATCGATTCCTGTCGACATAGGGTACACCTCGACACCACCCCCTTCGACGACTGCAGCCAGGCCGACGTCCACAGCGCCCCCTTCAACGAGCCGAGCTATACCGGTCGTGACAGGGACCACCTCGACGTCGAGACCCATACCGGTAGTGCAACAGCCGGTTGTTACGGACCAGCGTTCGACGGGCATTGCGGTCAATGTCGAAGTGGGTGGTGCACAGACCGAATTCCCTTCGACAGGTCAATCCATCCCTGTTGTGGTACAACCCATCTCGACAACACCTCCATCCATTGCACGCGAGGCTCCAACTCACCGTGCACCATCGTCGACAGCCAATCGCTCGACAGAACCTTCGACTGGTGCACCGACCTCGACAGGTGGGCGACGTGGGAGAGCGAGGGTTGTTCCGCCTGGGGTTCGACAACCACCTCCTGCCGGCACATCCGCAGCTCGAGCTACGCCAGCCGCTCCTAGGCGCACTTCGACGAGACCAAGCAGAGAGGACTTAGCCAGGAACGTCCCTGAAGCGACAGACGATGAGGATGTTCGGACGGGAGAACAGCAGTAGGCGGACGATGTCGAACCGCCGGACCCTCTGCAGCCAGCCGCGGCAAATATATCAGAGGAGGATGCCGCGCACATTCTCGGCGACCAACAGGGCGCAGCCAATCCGCCGTACTTGGCGACGGGAACAATTAAAAGCAGGATTCTCCGTTGCGAGGTTCCGCTGCTGGGAGTTGACCAGGATTCCACACGGCCGAACTATGTCTCTGGAAGCATGCACTACAAAGCTTGGGCCTGTTTAACTCTGGCGCCCGGAAGAAACAACGGAGTGCCTGAAGAGGAGCAGGTGATCCACGAGGACGAGATCGGTAGGGAGATCGGCGACGATATGGGGCCGAGATGGAGGGAGGCGCTCCGTAACGAGGAGCTCCTGCACGGGCCGAAAATTACGAAATGGCGCTTGCGCGCTTACATCGAATACATGTCGACAGAAACCGACGAACAGGCGGCATCCTTGGATACAGGCCGGACCAAAGTCGCTGGAAAGAAGCCGAAAAAATGCACCCCTCCGATTATGCTGGCGCGCCTTACTGCGCTGACGTGCTTCTGCAAAGTACAGGCCATACTCTTCGACGAGCCTCTAACGAAACCCTTGGACGACATCACCGAGGCTCGGCAGCTTCTTGCGGTCAAGCTGCGCCAGCTGCACGACTACCAGTTCGAGTAAGTAGGCTGCCATACACCGGTGACTGAAACTTCCCACACCCGTTCTCACCCATTAATCGCTGTGTCTGCCCACTCAATGCAGGCAGTGCGTCGATCCACACCGGGGATCGCTGGACGATGTTTACATAGAGGAGCAGTTCCGCATTCTCGTTTCAGACATCCTGCCGCACTGGGCGAAGGAGTACTTTCGGGAGTCGATGGGTTACCCCAGTCAGTCGCTGTGGAGGGCCTTGGCCGTGAGGGTGATGATCCTGATGGCGCATCACATGCTGGGCCGGGGGATAAGCATCCGCGAGATCCGCTACTGCAATATGTTCACCCACGTCCTTCCGCCCATCACGAATAGCAAGGGGGAATCGTCGATCCACATTCTCATCGTCGCCTATCGCAACTCAAAGACCATCAAAGACAACAAGCTCGGCCACGTGTACCTGACGCGACATATGGACTTCCGGCAGTGTGGCTTCGGAGCAGTGTTCATGTGGATACATTTCCTTCTCGACCTTGTGCCGCTCTACTACAACAACGATAAGATCGTGCCCCCCTTGGATTTCAGCAGCCCGGAATTGTGGTCGAAGAATCACCTGTTCTTCGCCCTCTTCGACAAGGACAAGACCGAGTTGCCATACGCGACTCATGCCAAATGGGTGACCTGGGCGATGAGCAGCGCGGAGTGGATCCTGTCGAAAGTCACACACATCTTTTGACGGTCTGCGGCACAGATCCTCGCCGACAAAAACTGTGAGCTCGACAACATCGCGCAACTGGGTCAATGGGACATGAACGAGATGCGCCGGTCATACATCACAGGCATCCCGCGTGGAGCCATCCAGCTGCAAGCGGGGTTCACGACTGAACCGGGTGACTATTACATCGGAAGATCCAAGAGCGAGGTACCCGAGAAGGTCCTGAAGGCCATCGAGAAGCACATCTTTCCGAAGGCGGAGCAGTGGCTCCAAGAGGTATGGATGCGTCGAGCGCTTAGCTTGATCATCGAACGCAAAATTTGCACGTCTACCTCTCAATGTCACCACGTTTGTTCTTGTTCAGGTGATGGAATGGAACGACGAGCAGGACAAAGAGCATATGTTCTTCGCAGCGAAGAGTTTCTTGAAGGCCCTGCAAGCCGCCGGAATGCCCATCGCAGAGGATCTTGCCATGTACTACGTCCATTGTGACGACCACCCTTTCGACGGAGTGGCTGTTTGTGACTGCGAGCGTCACCCGTACGCACAGATGTCGGATTTGTGCAAGGACATGGACTTCCAAAAATGGGCGCTTGACGTGTACCTGCTCGAAAAGTACGGCATCGAGATGCGGACGAACCCGACGCTGTCGAGAGCATCGGTAAGCTGGCCCCTCCACATCTTGATCCGAAGTGTTTGCACCAGCCCTCTTACCACTCGCCGTCTTGAGTGCAGGACGCATCCTTTCAACTCAACACCAAGCACGTCATCACGCAACTTCGGGCGGAGGTTAACTTACACAAGGAGGAGGGAGGGAAAAAAGAAATCAAGATTAAGCACCTCGAGCAGAAGGTCGAGTCATTGGAGCGGGAGAAGGGGGCGATGCAAGCGGCGTTGGAGGCGAAGGACGAGGCTCTCGCGCGACTGCAGAACGCGTTCGACGCACTTAAGATTACCGCGGCGATAAGCGCGGCTACGAATGTGGGGGATAGCGAGAGCGTGCCGCAGACGGCGACCGATGAAACCACCCCGCCAACACAGCAAGCCCCACAAACAACACCCACTCGACAGAGCAAGGGCAGCCAGCTCGACCAAGCCTTCGACACAGTGGTGTGGCCGTGGTGCAATTGCGAGACCGTGCGGCAGGCGTGGTCCTACTGGGACGGGCCAAGCCCGCTGAACAACGGACACAGTCTTCAACACGCTTACAGGAGGGGCTTCGCCGTCAAGTTCAGCAAGTTCACTCCGACTCCTCCCCCCGTTCCCCTTGAAGAGGAGGCCAGGCCACAAGAGAAGCCTCCGTCCCAAAAAGCTGTCGAGTCGAAATTGCGAAAAATGGAGGTTATCATGAGGGCCGTCGAGACGTTCAGGATCGACGACAGCAGTGCGGCTACGTCGACGGTCATCGAGAAGCTTGACTCGATTGTCACGAAGCACTCTATCAACATGCTGGCGGAAGGGCTCGTTCTCAAGGAGGATTCGGGGAAGCAGCTGACGAAGAAGCGGAAACTCGGGACAGCAGTAGAAAACCGCAAGGACAAAGATCGCCTCAGGATCACGAAGGAGCTAATTCGCGTCGAACTCCGAACCACGGAATGGGCTGAGAAGGTGTTCAAGGACAAATGGACGGAGTTCCTGAAATCAATGGGCGAGGGCCCTAGTTCGACAAGCAACCGTGCCGAGGGGTAGAGTAGGGGGTTCTTTCAGAATGTGCATGGCATGTTTAGCATTATCGATGAACCTATTTTGCATTATCGAATACGGAAAGTCAAGAATTATGCAAAATGTACAATCTGTCGATCAAACTCTGGCAACAACAAGCACAGCTGTCGAGAGATACAAACACCCCCTCGCAAAGTGCCCGCCTATACTACTCCCCTTGCCCGCACGTTTCCTTCTCCGTAGCATCCTCGTCGCCCTGCTTCGCCTTGCTCTTTTCTTCTGGCATTGCCAGGCTGCCATAGCCCGCATCCTCCAGCAAGCGGGCAGCAGCTCGACAGCAGCACCATTGCGTACAGACCTGTGCTGCCACGCGCAGCATCTGCAACAGGACGGCGTCCGTCGAGCCGAGTCCTTTGACAGCCGTCGAATACAGCTGATCGGGCCACTGCTTCGCCGGGAACGTCTTGCCGACGTGCAAAAGTATGGACACGAGCGCGGCCATGGCAGCCACACAAGCCTTGGTCGCAGTCTCCGGGGCGAACAGAGCAGCGTTTGCGGCAGCTAGGGCATCCTTCTCAATATCCTCCCTCGACAATTTCCTGCACGCCGCCCACAAGCTCGCCAGAGTTGCAGCGATGGCCATCATGTGCGGTGTCGCCGCCATGCCCTTAGGAACCGGATAAATCAGGTTCCCGTGCTTCAGGCCAAGTGTCGCGACCTTACCAATCGCCGCGCACAGCGCGATTCCCTAGTCGGTTCCAGCTCGAACTTCCTTATTTGCCGTCGCCAACAGCGACTGGAAACTGCACATCGCAACAAACGCGTAAGCCAGGAGGCCAGAATCCGACCGATAGAAGATTCACCCCCAAACAGCATGTGTTCGACAAAACACACCAACAGCAGAACTTCGACACAAATGTCAAACAGCATGAATTCGACAGAGCTCACTCGTCGAAACGACATTCCCCTTGTTCCTGCGCCACGCTCCAAACGCCGGTTGGAATTTTAGCAGCCGCATCGAGATAGACCTTCCACTCCTGCTCATCCTGCGCCGTAAACGCTTCGTACTCGGTAAGGAGTATGTCGGGGAAGTACACGCGCCAGCAGATGGCCGTACAGCACTTTTGGTCCTTCTCCGTGTCGAAGTGTCCCAAGAACCGCTTCCTCCCGCTGACGGTCTGCTCGGAGCTTCCCCTTCCGCAACCCGAAACCCTGTCCTTTGAAGGGAGCTTTGCAGCCCCTCGTCTTGCCTTGGTCGTCCGGGGGAGGAGGTGGGGTGTAACCCATCAGCCTGGCCTTCTTCGACTTTTCCTGTCGAGCAGCAACGACAATAGTGGTCTTCTCGACAGGCGCCTGACCAGGGACGATGGCCGTCTCCACGACGTCAAGGCTCTCTGTCGCATGTGCAGAGCGCTTCGACGACTTCGTCGCAGCCGGCTTCTTCTTCGACGTCGAAGGGGAGCCCGGTTCGCTAAGGCAAACGTTGCCTAGGGCCGGAGCAGCGGCGACAGGAGCAACTGGAGGGGTTGAGGACGACGCCCAATTTCCCACATGCTCGACAGCTCGGCCAGCAGCACCGCTCTGCGCAGCTGATGCTCCTTTACTCTTCGACATCAACCCAGCGGTTGCCTCTCCCGCTCCTTTCCCCGCACCGCCGCCGGACGGGGTAGAGGCACCTCGCTTTCCAAGGGCTCTATTCCCGGTCGAGGCTACGTGTTCGTTCGGGGCACCACTTTTCTCCCCCGCAACCACTCCTTTCCCACCCGTTTTCCCCAGGCCCTGCAGCATGTCCCGCATCGAAGCGAACGCATCAGGTGGAGGGATAGGAGCCGCTACGGAGGTCTTCGGGAGGGGCGACTGGTCGAGCACGATGACCTCGTTATCCTCGACGGGCTTGGCGACGGGATGACGGCCACGCGCCGGTGGGGATGCAACCGGGCTGCCGACATGTCCTCCCACCGAAGAAGACGGAGGAACCGACCGCTCGTGACCACGAGGCTCAGCGCCGCTGCGAACCCCTCCCACACCCTCCTGACGCGACCTCGTCGACGGGCCCGCCGAGCGCTGGAAACCTCTCGCCATCGCTTCGGTGAGGGCTTCCAGTCTCCCATCTTCGGCTTCATTGTAGCCTTCCCTCACAATGTCCTTCAGCTCCTTCATGGTCTCGGGAGGGAGGGTGGAGCAGAACATGTCCTTCGCCATGGCTTTCTCGAAACCCTTCAGCACCGCAGCAACGAGCCGCTCCTCGACCTGCTTGAGCTGCTTCTCGACGGCGTCCTCGCTCGCTTTTGTGATGGCGGCTGCCACCCCCTCGATGATCTTCCCGGTCATCTCGTCGATCTTCGCCCGCGCCCCTTCCAACAGTTTCCTCTCCGCCGTGACACCCTTCACAGCCTCGGCGCACTGCGACAGTGTGCTCTTCGACGACTCCGAAATCGTATTCCAGGCCGTCCGAAAATCCGCAGCAAGCGTGTTGAATACTGCGGCTTGCTCAGTGTGTTTCGCAAACATGTCGGTGACTAGCTGCTTCTGCGACGCCTCGACCTTCTCGACCCTCTGCAGAAGCTCGACGACCTGGTCTCCGGGTGCACCAATCGCCGTCGATTGGCCTGCCGTCGAAGGCCCTCCGGTCGAAGGGCCCGCCTGTCCGCTGCCACTGGCCGTGCGGTGTCTCCTTGTTACTGTGGCCTGTCGCTCATCTCCTCGACGATACTCCTCAGCAGCCTCCCCGCCCTCCTTCTCCTGCCCTCCCGCCCCACCCACCCGCGCAGCCGCAACCCTAAACTCATGCTGCTGCACTACTGCCCCACCCTCCTGCGCAGCCGCCACGCCCTCCTGCTGCTGCCCTCCTGCCCCGCCTTCCTGCGCAGCCGCCTCGCCCACCTGCTGCTGCCCTCCGACCCCACCCTCCTGCGCAGCCGCTCCACCCACCTGCTCCTCTACAGCCATCGTTTTCCCCGTCGCCTGCTGCTCGATAAGCTTCACCCGCTCGTCCACCCGCTCCCCGAGCGCCACTCCGTGCTCTCCCGTACGCTCCGTGCTATGTCCGGCGCCCTCGCCGTCGTCCTCGTCCGACTCATCGCTCGAGCTCGAGCCGGAGCTCGATCCCGAGCTCGAGTCCTCGTCCATGTTCGCATCGCCGCCCCGGCCGCTCGCCCCGTGCTGAGCCTGCCTCGATGTATCCTCCTCGATCTCCTCCTCCTCCTCCTCGACGCTGTACTCAACAACGACGTGTGCCGACTCCTTGCCTCCTCCCTCGTGGTCGGCACCCCCTCCCGCACCTGCTCCCTCCTCAACCTGGACGATCTTTCTCGAAAACAGCTTGGCCATGAACACCGGAAGCGCATCTGGGCCAGGGTTCGTTCTCCCGAGAGTAACGAGATCGCCCTTCCGAGGCTGCTCGATGAAGGCGTTCCATTTCGACAGAATCCGGCGCACCCCATGCACGACACGAGCTGCCGCGCCGTTTTCATAGGGGCTCGACAAGGGCGTCGTCGTCTGCGACGGGCACAAAAGATACGTAAGCGACAGATCACATGCTCGACGAAAACACTGGCGGTCTAAGGAGAGCTTACCAGCAGATCAAAATCCTCGTTCAACTCCAGCCGAAGGTCGATCAGTTTCAACACTTCTTGGTCGTGCACGGTCGGAGCCTGATGGGTCGTCGCGTACTCGGCGCGAAGCTGCTTCTTCATCCACTTGCGACGCAACAGAGAGAAAAGTAAGATTGTCGAGAACAACAGCTCGACAGCAGGGTGGCAAAGCTGTCACTCACACGAAAACTTCATGCGCCAGAGAATCTTGGTGGTTCACATCGGGAAACTTGTCTTTCGAATTGAAGTGCATCATTCGAGTTCGACTGCCACGGTGCCTCGGAGCCAGCAGATCGTCGGGGCGCGATACCACAAACAGGCTCGAGTGGGAGAACGGAGGCACACTCATTCTGCATGCAGAGCCAATGCACGTGAGAACGGGTTCAGGGCTAAAGACGGAGCACGCAAGGCGACGGGAGAGTGTCGAACTCACGGTGTCCGCAGCAGAACGAAAACCACTTGCTTGCTGAGGAGGCCGTCGAGGTGGTTGCTCGCAAAAGCGACCGGGAAGGGACGGGCGATCTCTTCACGCGCACGCGACGGGGTCACGATCCCCACCATGGGGAGCTGCTCGACGGACAGCAGCTCATGACAGAACAGGCTGCAATGAAAGCTAAGGCAACGTCAGCGACAGGTCAACCGAAACATGGCAAACCGAAATTGCTCGACAGGACACGTACACGACGCCCGCGACCATCATGCTCTCGTCGAGCTCCCCTTTCGGCGCCTCGCGAATCGCATTCAGCTGGTCCTCGTACACCTCCACCTCGACCCCGCCTGCACTTAGGATGACGCCGCGTCGAACGGTCGGCTCGTTCATGACGGGTAGGGAGGCGGGGCTCGTAGCCATTTCAGTCCTAGCAGTGGAGAGGGCGGGCACGCAGGGAAGTAAGGAACTAGCAGGGACTAGGAAGGAAGTAGGGAAATGACTAAAAAATCGGAAACAGCAACAAAATGAGACCGCACGCAGGGTATTAGCTGTTTGCCATCCCTCCCACCGCGACGGACCAGGGGGGTTCAAGGGCCAGGAGGCAGGGCGCGTTCCGAGACGCGGGAGGAGGAGCTCTTCGCGGAGACCGGCGGGGCCCTATTGGCCTCGACGTGAAACCTGGTGGTTGGTTGCATGGGGTGGGGCGCCAAGCATGCAGCCGAAAGGCCACTTTCAAGGCTCGGGAGGGGGCCTTCGACACGTCACCAAGATCGAGCGGCTTGAACGAAATGGGCCCGTCGAGGGGTAGAGCGGTGGAGCGCGGTGCAGACGGGCGTCGCTTCCGTCTGGCCGGCGAAATTTCGCGGACTGGTTCCGTCAGCGATGCGTCGCTCGGCGAGGTAGGGGTGGGTTACCGGACGGAACCCGTCCACGAACCGAGCGAGGGGTTGGGCTCGGTTGGGTGGGGACCACTGCCAGCTCGAGGGCGCGGGTTGCTGGCGTCACGCGCAGCTGGCGCCAGCTGGGGGTGTCCGTTTCCGGGCGGGAGGGGGGGGTGGCTCCCGCCCCTCGCGTGCCCCGCTAGGCGACTGCGGGAAAACCGAAATCCCTCCGAGGAAAACCAGCAGGGGCGAAGTGGGTTTCGCGGAGGGATTCGGGCGAGGTCTTCCCTCTAGAACCTCGACACTAGAGAGCACAGAAGTGTAGAAGCTTTGGCTACATATATGCTAACATGTAGAATCGATGTTGTCACATATTGCACATCGATGTGATACTAGAAACAGTCGTGCCTTTTGTTCGCTTGTGATGAGGTGGCGGTCTTGCGATTCGTGGGAAAGAAAAGGCTTCGCTGGCTTCAGCTTGTCACCCCCGCCGCCGTCAACAGAACCACCCAATCTAGCGAAACATGTGACGAAGCTCGCATATGCTATACACTACAATCGCGAACTGGCGACGACGACGTTGTCACACGAATGAGTCATCCACTTCTGGACCATTTCGCGAATGACAATACCGAGGGAACAGACAAATATAGCCTACACCTGGGGGAGCATGACCGACAACTTCTAGAACCATTCCGGGCCCTACCCTCCAGTAGCCATTGTAGTGTTGACCATTCCACGAGTCTAGTTCATAGCCGTACTTTGAGGCTGGGGAAATAAACTAGGACCGTGACTTCAGTTTTTTGCAGCTCCTCCGACCATGCTCTTCAGCTTCGTCAATGCTCTCGTCGCCTTGTTAGATTGGTCTTCGTCACGTTTTATGCTGTGGGGTTAGATCCTCTTGCTCCGGTTCCTGTATTTCTATTCCGTCTCCATCCTGCTTTCGTTTGAGCCATCCGTTCGTCAAGTAAAACCGTGGTTCTCATTCTTTAGACATTCGCATCAGGTACAATGCCGCTAATTCATCTTATTTATGGACGGTTTCGCGCATTATCATGCTCGATGGTACATTCTCCCGCGTGAGCACCGTTTCTTTCATCTCGTAACGCTCTCTCACTGTATGGTCATCTAAGCAATTTCTCTAAGCCCCTTGAGAATTCGTAGTAATGGCTTCCGCTTCAACAGAAGCATCACTATCCTCGTTATCAGCAGCATCGGTAGCTGCGGAACCAGCCGTAGCTCAAAAGTCGTTTTCGAACGCAGAAGAAACCCCCGCGGTGGTGGCCACATCTGCGCCTAACAACCCGCGCACGCTCGCCGTCGCGACAGCGCCGTCCCCCGCGCGAACCTTTGATTCAGATCTTCCGGCGAACCTTCGCGAAGGAGCTGCGGTAACCCGGAAAAGCTTTCCGAACGGGGATAAATACGTGGGCGAATGGGCGGGAGGAGCACCGCACGGCACCGGAAGATACTCCTGGGTGGATGGAAGCGTGTACGAAGGGGAATGGGACAGGGGACGGAAGCACGGCCAAGGATGGTTCGAACTCCCTGACGGCACCCGTTACGAAGGGGAATGGAAGGACGGCGCTCTACAGGGCGTGGGTAGCCACTGGGCTCCTGACGGAGCATTTTATACCGGGAACTGGGCCGCTGGGGTGAAGCATGGACTTGGTAGAAAGCATTACACTAACGGAGATGTTTATGAGGGGTTCTGGAGCCGAGGGGTCCCGGACGGTCCTGGTCGGTACAAATGGAGCAACGGGAATGAGTATTTCGGGGAGTGGGAAGGCGGGAAGATGAGCGGGTACGGAACGCTTTCGTGGGCGAATGGGGATAGCTACGAGGGGGAGTGGGAGGAGGGGCTTGAACACGGCGCGGGGACGTTTAAGTGGGCCGACGGAAGCTGCTTCGAAGGGACGTGGAGCAGAGGACTGAAGGACGGCAAAGGGTTGTTCTTCCCGAGCGGATATGAGGAGGGAGGGGACGAGGAGGAGTGGGTGGAGGAGGAGGGAGGCGGGGGAGGGGATGAGGAGAAGGGGGAACCAAGGGTTGTGGGGGAAGCGGATGGTGCTGCCTCTGATAAAGAGACTGTCGGTCGTGCTGGTAGTGGTGACGGGGTTACTGCAGGTGCAGTGGGGTCTGCAGGAGCTGCGGGCGCTGCTGCTGGCGGTGGCGGTGCTGGCGCAGGAGGCGGAAAGAGAGGGGGGCGGACGCTTGGCCGCGGACTGACGATGAGCCGGGGGCTTTCGATTGGTTGGAAGCCGGCGGATCAGAAGAAACCGACTCCGCAGCAGCAGCAGCAACAGCAAGAGGCGGATGGAGGGGTAGCGACGACAGGGGATGGAGGGGTGCCAGGCGTAGAAGGAGCAGGAAGAGGTGGGAATGGGAAGAGAATTTCAGCTGGACCGGGGGACAAGGCAGCAGGAGACGGGCTCAGTATTGACACTGCCGCAGCAGCAACAACAGCTGTAGGTAATAACGATAAGCGTCCCAGCACCAGCGGCTCCATCCCCACTCCTAGAGGGGGTAACAAGGCAATTCGCCCCAGCAGCAGCGCGGGCATACTCAGCACTACCCCTTCTGGCACTGGGCCGAAGAAATTTAACCGGAGCGTGTCTGTGATTGGTGGAGGGCGGGCGGGGGCTGGGCGGGACTGGAAAAAGAAGGAAGCGCTGGAACGGCAGTGGGCTGAGTGTGAGTTAAAACTAGGTAAGTCGGAGACTGTTCCCGGACCTGCGCCGCTGTCTAGGGGCGCTAGGGGTATGGTAGGGGGTAGACTGTGGGAGAGTTGCAAGGAGCGGGGGAGGAGTGTGGGGGACGGATGGGAGGAGAAGGTGGGGAGGATTGCGGAGGAGGCTGCTGAGGTGGCGGGAACGGGGGCGGGGGAGAGGGGGGAGGAGGAGGTGGGGAAGGGAGGGGCGGAAGGGGAGGGTGAGTCCGCAGGTGTGAGTGTAGCGGGTGTGACAGACGAGGGGATGGCGGTAGAAACTGTGGTTGTAGACAGTGAGAGTGACGGTGGTGTGACTGATGGTAGTGGGGCTGCTGCTGCTGCGGGCGCAACAGCAGAGGCAGTCAGGGAAGCAGAGCAGAAGATGGAGGGGCAGGTAACAGGCAAAGAGAAGAGAGCGAAGCAGGGGGGGGACGAGGCAACTGCTGCTGCTCCCAAGCTATGGAGAATGTGGAGCAAGGAGAAGGAGACGGACAGGGATGCCCCTCAGCAGCAGCCGTCGCCACAGCAGCCGCAGCAGCAGCAGCAGCAGGGAGAGCAAGGAAAGAAGGGGCGGCGCTGGTCCCTTCGCTCCTCCAAATCAGCCGCAACAGCAAAGCCTTCCGCCCCGTCCCTCAACCTCCCCCACGCGTCCTCTGAGGGAAACCTTGTCAGCAGAGGCACTGGCGCCGCCGGCAACAGCAGCAGCATTGACAGTGCTGCTGCTGCTGGTGCTGCTGCGTCTCCTTCTGGTCGTCGTCAGAACAGGCCGTCTTCAAAAGCAGCCCCTGCGAAGCTGACTCGCGTGTTCACCATGGGCCCTGTGCCTGCTAGGGAGAACAGTGGCCGGGTTGACAGTGCGGTTCAGAGCGGTGGCGGGTTAGCGGGATGGGTGCGTGGGTCGTCCGTGGGTTCGGCGAATGGGGACGAGGGGGATGAGGGGCGGGCGAGCACAGAAGGGGGGGATCATGGGGGGAACACTGCTGGGGGGGATTCTGCAGACAGGCACACAAGCTCGTCGCATGGTGAGCCATTTTCTCCCCTACCTACCCCACCCTATCCTACCCCCCCCCCCCCCATTTCCTGCCCTGTATAAAATAGTTTGGGTGCAGGTGCTTGTGAAGCTCTCCTTGCCTTTGCGTTCGTGCTTCTGTCCCCACAGCCCCAACACAAGGCCAAAGTGGTTGCAGGGTGTTTTGGAGAGTTCTCAAAAACACCTTCCAATAAGACAAGTGAGGGCAGGTGCTCGTGAAGCTCTGCTTGTCTTTGAGCTCGTCCTACTGTCCTCACAGTCCCAACACAACAGCAAAGCGGGTGTGGGCTATGCCTTTGCCTCTCGCATTGGCCTGCACACGGAAGTTGCACGGGCGGCCCTACCAACACTGCCATCACAAGCATCCCTTTCCCGTTCTCTTGCCACGCTTCCCTCCTCCCTCCCTTCTCCCCATTCTTCCCAGCCCAAGAGAGTGAGGCCGGCCCCGATTCTGCTCTTGACTCGCTGCGTTCAAGCGCCATGTTCTCATCAGGCCGCAAGCAGAGGCAGCGTGGGCGGTACAGCAAGGTGGTGACAGTGAGGGAGTACGTGCAGGGGGTGCTGGTGGCAGAGATCCCAAGGTCCAAGCTGCAGCACGACCTTGTGGTGAGTAGAGCTTATAAAGGGTATGAAGTGTCCAGGGTTTAGGGTGGGTAGCCTGGAGCAAGGTGGTGTCAGTGAGGGAGTACGTGCAGGGCGTGCTGGTGGCGGAGATCCCAAGGTCCAAGCTGCAGCACGACCTTGTGGTGAGTAGAGCTTGTTTCATTGTGTGCTTATAGAGGTGCAGCAGATTGGTGGTGCACACGGCACAAGCATAAGCACAAGAGCAAGCACAAGCGCACAACTGTCGCTGGCACTTTTGAGAGTTACAAGCACAAGCACAACCCCTGGCAGGGGCGTGGAAACACACCCTTTCTTCTCGTTCCTCCCTTACCCCTTCCCCTCTCCCCCACCCCACCCTGTCCGTCCGTTCATTCTCACCATTAGCAGAGGCGGCGTGGGCCGACGCGCAGGGCAGGGAGGAAAGCGGGAGAGCTGATATACAAGGGCCACCGCAGCTACGACCTTTGAGACGCCTCGAAATTTCCCCCCTCTCCCCCCTCCCGTTTCATGCAGAGGCGGCGTGGGCCGACGCGCAGGGCGGGGAGGAAGGCGGGCGAGCTGATCTACAAGGGGCACCGCAGCTACGACCTCATGACGGCCATTCAGCTGGGGCTCAGGTGAGTGGGTGGGTGGGGCCTCCTTGTGCCGTGTGTCTTCACCTCACTCCCTCACTCTTCAACTGCTCTCACGGCCTCCACTGATCGCTGCCCTCACTGTGAGCAACGGAGTGTTGATATACAAGGGCCACCGCAGCTACGACCTCATGACGGCCATACAGCTGGGGCTCACGTGGGGTTGGGTCCCCTTGTGTTGTGTGTCCTCCTCCCTCCCTCACTTGCTCACCGTCCTCCTCACTCCCTCACTTGCTCACCGTCCTCCTCACTCCCTCACTAGCTCACCGTCCTCCTCACTCCCTCACTTGCTCACCGTCTTCCTCACTCCCTCACTTGCTCACCATCCTCCTCACTCCCTCACTTGCTCACCGTCCTCCTCACTCTCTCACTTGCTCACCGTCATCCTCACTCCCTCGCTCACCGTCCTCCTCACTCTCTCACTTGCTCATTGTCCTCCTCACTCTCTCACTTGCTCACCGTCTTCCTCACTAACTCGCTAACCGTCCTCCTCACTCTCACTTGCTCATTGTCCTCCTCAATCTCTCACTTGCTCGCCGTCCTCCTCACTCCCTCACTCTCCGTTTGAAAGGACCCACGACTTGAAGTGATGTGATGCACTCACCGTCCTCCTCACTCCCTCACTCACCATGAATACCTTAAAGCCCCATCACCCCGTGGTATGGAAGTGCATCACAGCACTACGAACCCAACTCTTTTTCATCGCACTCCCACCACCCCATCCCGCCCACCAGGCACTCCACAGGGCAGGCAAAACCTCCCCTGTTGCCCCTTTCCCTGTTGTCCCTCCCTCAGAAGCACCTCCCCTACCTCACACCTCCCCATTCCTGCTTTCCCATCCCACGTCCCCCCATCCCACCAGGCACTCCACAGGGCGGGCAACACCTCCCCCAGTTGCCCCTTCCCCAGTTGCCCCTCCCCCAGTTGTCCCTTCCCCAGCTGCCCCTTCCTCAGAAGCACCTCCCGCACCTCCCACGTCCCCCCCATCCCATCAGGCACTCCACAGGGCGGGCAACACCTCCCCCAGTTGTCCCTTCCTCAGAAGCTCCCTCCACAGCTGCTCCTGCCTCAGCCGCACCTGCATCAAGCGCACCTCCCTCAGTTACACCTGCATCAACTGCTGCACCTGCCCCAGCTGCACCTGCCCCAGCTGCACCTGCCCCAGCCGCACCAGCTGCATCAGCGGAGCTGCCTCCAGAGGACTTTGTCGCGGCAGACAGGATGTGGTTCCCTCCGGAAGGCTCCTCCTGCACTCCACCCCATAACACGCTGCCTTTCACGTGGCGCGACTACGCTCCCAAGGCCTTCAGGTGAGTGACTGTGAGGCTTGAGTGTGTGTGGTGGGTCCAAGCAAGCATCACAGTGTCTTCTGGTAGAGAGCTCCCCACTTTGTGGTGGCAGACAGGATGTGGTTCCCTCCAGAGGGCTCCTCCTGCACGCCGCCCCACAACACACTGCCCTTCACCTGGCGTGACTATGCTCCCAAGGCCTTCAGTTGGGTTATTCCTAAGGCTCCCTCCCTACGTGCTCTGTGCCTGCCCCACCTGCGCTCTTCACCTTTCCCCTGCAGGGAGCTGCGGGCCATGTTTGGCATCGACTCAGTGGATTACACACACGCTGTGTCTGTGTGGCAACAACACTCTGAGGGAGCTGTCTTTCCCAGGCAGGCTGACTCACAGCATTCTCTTTCCCTTCCCTCGCTCTCATCATCTATGCGCTCCTTTCTACCGCCCTGCAGTGAGCTTAGAGCCATGTTTGGCATCGACCCAGCAGACTACACTCTTTCGTTGTGCGGCGACAATGCTTTGAGAGAGCTGTCGTCCCCGGGCAAGTCCGGGAGTGTGTTCTACCTGTCGGACGATGATCGGTTTATCATCAAAACCATGCGCGCATCTGAAGTGCGGGTGAGTTGGGAAGGGGGGAGGGGCAGAGGAGGGAGCAGGAGCGGGGGGAAGGGCACTAAGGCAAGTCCGGGAGTGTGTTCTACCTGTCGGACGATGATCTGTTTATCATCAAAACTATGCGCGCCTCTGAAGTGCGGGTGAGTGGGGAGAAGCACGGTGGAAGGGTAGAGAGAGTGGCGGGGGGCAGGGCGGAGGTGTGGGAAGGTGAAGCACGTCACCAGCCCATCTCGTCCCTTTCCTTGTGCTCATTTTTTTTCTCGAAAGCTTGTTGTTCCTTTCCGGAGTAGGTGGTAAGAAAGAAGTTCACTGCCCTTTCTTCCTATTCGGCATGTGCTGGACGTGAAGCAAACTCACACAAGCACTCATTAGCAGCCTTTTCTTCCTTTTCTTACATAATATTTTCTTCCCCTTTTCTTGCCGTCTCCTTCCTTTGGAGCAGGTGTTACAGCGGATGTTACCGGACTATTTCCGGCACGTGCGCGACTGCGAGCACACGCTCATCACCAAGTTCTTCGGGCTACACTCCATCCGCGTTTACAACACAAAGCAGCCCTCCAGCCTGTCCCGCTCTTCTTCCACCAGCACCAAACTATCCCCCTCCTCCTCCATTGCTTCTACCACCACCACCAATACCACCACAACCACTACCACAACCACCACTAGCACAGCAACAGCCACCACCACCTCTTCTGCTGCTCCTGCTGCTGGTGGTGGTTCTGCGGACTCGCCCCTGAGCGAAATCCCCATGTCTCCCGAGGTGACAATGCGTTGCTCGCGCAGCCTCTTCCCCCCATCGCCCTTCGCCACTGCCACTCAAAACGCCGCCACCAACACTCCAGGTGCCAGCAGCACCGTCAATGCCCCCACCACTACCAGCACTGCCAGTGCCACGAACCCCTCCCTCCCCACAGATCAACAACAGCACCAGAACCAGCACCAGCAGCAACAGCAGCACCACTTACAGCACCAACAGCATCAGCAGCCGCAGAGGTACCGGTGGCGGCGGCGCCTACACACAGTCCTCTCGTCGCCCTCCACGCTGATCCGCTTTGTGGTCATGGCTAACGTGTTTGTCACCGACCTGCGCATGCACCGCCGCTTTGATTTGAAAGGGTCGTCGCAGGGAAGGAGCACGGAGAAAGTGGCTGTGGATGAGACCACTACTCTCAAGGATCTAGACCTCGACCTCTCCTTTCACATGCCCGCCTCGTGGCGAGCTCTCATGCACAAGTGAGTTGGTCAGCAGTGCAGGTAGGGGTATGGGAGTGGGTAATCTTCTGAGGCCAACGTGTTTGTCACCGACCTGCGCATGCACAGAAGGTTCGACCTCAAAGGGTCCTCACAAGGCAGGAGCACGGAGAAAGTGGCTGTGGACGAGACAACCACGCTCAAGGATTTGGATCTCGACCTCTCCTTTCACATGCCCGCCTCGTGGCGAGCCTTAATGCACAGGTGGGTGTTGTGCGAAAGCACACACGGAGAAAGTTGCAGTGGACGAGACCACGACTCTGAAGGATCTCGATCTCGACCTCTCCTTTCACATGCCCGCCTCGTGGCGAGCGCTCATGCACAGGTGAGTTGGTTGAGTGTGAGAGCAAGGTGCGCCTACACACCGTCCTCTCGTCGCCCTCCACGCTGATCCGCTTTGTGGTGATGGCCAACGTCTTTGTCACCGACCTCAGGATGCACCGGCGCTTCGACCTCAAAGGGTCGTCGCAGGGCAGGCGCACGGAGAAAGTGGCTGTGGATGAGACCACCACTCTCAAGGATTTGGATCATGATTTGTGCTTCCACATGCTGGCTTCGTGGCGAGCCCTCATGCAGAGATGGGTTGGTTTGGGTGGGTGGGTGGGAGTGAGAGAGCCTCTCCTCCCCCTCCACGCTCAAGGATGAGAGCACTTCCCTCAAGGATGGGACTAATACCCTCAAGGATTTGGATCATGATTTGTGCTTCCACATGCTGGCTTCGTGGCGAGGCCTCATGCAGAGGTGGGTTGGTTTGGGTGGGTGGGTGGGAGTGAGAGAGCCTCTCCTCCCCCTCCACGCTCAAGGATGAGACCACTACCCTCAAGGATGGGACCAATACCCTCAAGGATTTGGATCATGATTTGTGCTTCCACATGCTGGCTTCGTGGCGAGGCCTCATGCAGAGGTGGGTTGGTTTGGGTGGGTGGGTGGGAGTGAGAGAGCCTCTCCTCCCCCTCCACGCTCAAGGATGAGACCACTACCCTCAAGGATGGGACCAATACCCTCAAGGATTTGGATCATGATTTGTGCTTCCACATGCTGGCTTCGTGGCGAGGCCTCATGCAGAGGTGGGTTGGTTTGGGTGGGTGGGTGGGAGTGAGAGAGCCTCTCCTCCCCCTCCACGCTCAAGGATGAGACCACTTCCCTCAAGGATGGGACTAATATCCTCAAGGATTTGGATCATGATTTGTGCTTCCACATGCTGGCTTCGTGGCGAGGCCTCATGCAGAGGTGGGTTGGTTTGGGTGGGTGGGTGGGAGTGAGAGAGCCTCTCCTCCCCCTCCACGCTCAAGGATGAGACCACTACCCTCAAGGATGGGACCAATACCCTCAAGGATTTGGATCATGATTTGTGCTTCCACATGCTGGCTTCGTGGCGAGGCCTCATGCAGAGGTGGGTTGGTTTGGGTGGGTGGGTGGGAGTGAGAGAGCCTCTCCTCCCCCTCCACGCTCAAGGATGAGACCACTACCCTCAAGGATGGGACCAATACCCTCAAGGATTTTGATCATGATTTGTGCTTCCACATGCCGGCTTCGTGGGGGGCTGCATGTAGAAGTTGGTGTGAAAGAGCGCTAGTGGCACAGGTGGGTTGGGTTGGGATGGGTCGGGTTGGGTGCATAGCCTCACAGCCTCTCGGCGGCTGCTGATCCGCTTTGTGGTGATCTCCTTTTCCTACCCTCCCCCTCACTCACTCCCCTCCAGGCAAATCGCCCTGGACACGGCATTCCTGCAGCGGCAGAACATAATGGATTACAGCCTGCTGCCGGGGGAATGTGCACGTTAAAGTCACCCCATCCAATTCCCTCATTTCCCCTCGCTATCCCCCCTTTTTCCAGGCAAATCGCCCTGGATACCGCATTCCTGCAGAGGCAGAACATAATGGATTACAGCCTGCTGCTGGGGGCACATGTTCTCCTAGTTTCCTCAACTCACCACCACCTTTCCCTCCCACCAAACATTGCTCTTTCCTTCTCCTCCAGGAAAATCGCCCTAGACAACGGCGTTCCTGCAGAGGCAGAACATAATGGACTACAGCCTGCTGCTGGGGGTGCATTCACTCATACATCCCCTTGATCCCCCATCCTTTGTCTTCCCCCTTGCATTACCCCATCCCCCCTTCAGGCAAATCGCGCTGGACACGGCATTCCTGCAGCGGCAGAACATAATGGATTACAGCCTGCTGCTGGGAGTGCATTTCCGCCCCACCAATGCCGCGCTGCCACCTGTCACCATCGCCGAGGGCCGCCCGACCCAGGACGGCCAATCTCGGCCGTCCATCTCAGCAGGTGCTGCAATCATGGATGTGTTTTTTGGTTCTTCACACTGTTCATCTGCTGACTACTCCTCCTCCTCCCCCTCCTCGTTCATATTCTCGTCGTCCATCTCAGCAGGTGCTGCAATCATGGATGTAATGGGTGTTGCAGTGAGCGTGTTTTTCAGTTCTTCCCACTATTCATTTGCCTCCTCCTCCTCCTCCTCCTCCTCCTCCTCCTCCTCCTCCTCCTCCTCCTCCTCCTCCTCCTCCTCCTCCTCCTCCTCCTCCTCCTCCTCCTCCTCCTCCTCCTCCTCCTACTCCTCCTCCTCCTCCTCCTCCTCCTCCTCCTCCTCCTCCTCCTCCTCCTCCTCCTCCTCCTCCTCCTCCTCCTCCTCCTGCCTTCAAACTCACCCCCATCCTCCGACCCTCTCTCTCAACCTTACCCCACTGTTCTTGTGACATCTTTCGCTTTTCATGTCTTCTCCCTTCTTTCCTCTACCCCTTTCTCCTCTCCCTCATTTCCCGATCTCCTCTCTCTATCCACCCTTCCTCTCTACAGCTGCTGCGGCCACAGAAGCTGAGCCTGGAGAGGACCAATCAGGCGGTGACACGTCAGCAGTAGATGACACGTTAGCAGGAGATGTCGCCCTGAGTGCGGCCTCAGCTTCGTTCCCCAGCTCCTTCCGCCAGGTGTGTGTGTGTGCGTGTGGGAGTGTTAATGTGGAAGCAACGTGAAAAAAGAAGATTTTGAGACATCTCAACGTGAAAAAAGAAGAGTTTTGAGACGTCTCAACGTGAAAAAAGAAGAGTTTTGAGACGTCTCAACGTGAAAAAGGAAGAGTTTTGAGACGTCTCAACGTGAAAAAAAGAAGATTTTGAGACATCTCAACGTGAAAAAAGAAGAGCAACGTGAAAACTCTTCTTTTTTCACGTGGCCCCAACTCCTTCCGCCAGGTGTGTGCGCGCGTGGGAGTGTTAGAGTGGAAGCTTGCGAGTGTGGGGGCGCGTGTTTTCGTGAGAGTGCGAGGTGGAGTGTGAATGTGAGAGGTTGGATTGTGGGGCGGTGGGGGAGAGTGTGAAGCCATGCAGAGGGTACCCTCCACCTCCGTCCCTTTCAGCCCCTAGCCCCACCAATCCCCCTCTCTCCCTTCAAACCACCCCCCTTCCCCCCCCCCCCGCTCCCTGCCTTCAATCACAGATGAAGCATCACATGCAGCGGCCATGGCAGAGGGTTGCGTCGACCTCTGAAACATCTAGAAATTCCTTTCCAATCCCTTACAGCCACTCCCGACCCCCCCTCCTCACCCCCTTTCAATCACAGATGAAGCATCACATGCAGAGGTGGCAGAGGGTTGCCTCCACCTCTGCCTTTGCTTGACTTACCAACTACAAGCCTTCCTCTCCCCCCCTCCCCCCCCCTCCGCTCCCTGCCTTTTACCACAGATGAAGCACCACATGCAGAGGTGGCAGAGGGTTGCGTCCACCTCTATCCCCGATGCGTCGGTTGGCGCCTCCACCACTACAGACAAACTCAGCCGTCCAGAAAGTGCTGCAGTGGGGGCAGTTGAAGAGGCGAAAGTAACAGCCAATGCAGCAGCGGGCGGGGCAGATGGAGAAGCAGGGCAGGTAGCAAACGGCTTCTTGCTGCCCACAGCTTCACAGCAGCAGCAGGATGAAGGGGGAGGGAAAGGGAGAGAGCAAAAGGGCTCGGGAGGGGGAGGGAGCGTGGGCGAGGGAGGAGTGGTGGGGGGTACCGGAGAGGGAGGAGGTGGGGTGCTGCTGGGACAGGGCATGCCGGCAACGGCTGTGAGGGTGGACAGGCGGACTCGCAAAGCAGTGATGGACCCCGCTAAGAGGGAGACGTACCAAGTGGTGCTGCACTTCGGAATCATTGATATTCTGCAGGTCAGCTTTTCTAGGGTTGAAGGTTTTGGGTTTGGGGTTGGGGCTTGTGGAGGCAGGGCATGCCGGCAACGGCTGTGAGGGTGGACAGGCGGACTCGCAAGGCTGTGATGGATCCGGCTAAGAGGGAGACGTACCAAGTGGTGCTGCACTTCGGAATCATTGATATTCTGCAGGTCAGCTTTTCTAGGGTTGAAGGTTTTGGGTTTGGGGTTGGGGCTTGCGGAGGCAGGGCATGCCGGCAACGGCTGTGAGGGTGGACAGGCAGACACGCAAAGCAGTGATGGACCCGGCTAAGAGGGAGACGTACCAAGTGGTGCTGCACTTTGGAATCATTGATATCCTGCAGGTCAGTTCTGAGTGGTTTGGGGTCTAGGGTTGAGGGTTTGAGGTTGTTTCTCATGTTGTTTCTCTTTCTCTCTCACACAAACGCACTCGATCACTTTCAGGAGTGCAACACGCGCAAGAGGGAGGAGCATGTGTGCAAGAGCCTGCAATACAACAGCACGTGCATCAGCACCTTCAACGCCTTGCATTCCATTACATGCTACGGTATCTAATTCTGTCTCCTTCTCACTCCCACACACATCCACCCGACCCGACCCGACCATTCTCAGGAGTACAACACGTGCAAGAAGGCGGAGCACGTGTGCAAGAGCCTGCGTTATGATGGCACGTCCATCAACCCCTTGCATATATGCTATCCTTTTCTTTCTCCATTTCACTCCACACACATCCACCTGACCCAACCACGTTCAGGAGTACAACACGCGCAAGAAGGCGGAGCATGTTTGCAAGAGCCTGCGATACGACGGCACGTCCATCAGCTCCTCGCATTCCATCCCATTATGTCTTTTTTTCTTTCTCCATCTCACTCCCACACACATACTCCCAACCACGTTCAGGAGTACAACGCGCGCAAGAAGGCGGAGCATGTGTGCAAGAGCCTGCGTTATGACGGCACGTCCATCAGCGCTGTCAACCCCAGTCTCTACGCGTCCCGGTTCGGAAACTTCATTTCAGTCACATTCCCCTCCAGTAATGAAACCTCAAATGAAGAAAATGAGTGATGGGAGATTGAGCAAGTTACAGTTGGCTTACCCATGAACAAAATTGATTGGGTATCAGGTGCCAGACACCATTGCTCAAGCATCCTGTAGGAAGCTGGTGGCTTTTCTGGATTTGATTTGTTTGTCTAATTATCACTAGGACCAGTATTTGTAGTGTATTGTGTTCTGCTGTGTACCCCTGTGCAAGATTGATACTGTGCTATGTGCTAGAGTTCCCCTGTGCAAGATTGATACATAGTATTAGTACGGTACGGTAAATTGCGTTTTATTGTCGTTATATGTTTCCTTGATGCCTTGAGCATGCTAATGTAAATAATGCACATATGATAAAAGATACAAATCATGAAAGAGAATGTACCTACTTTTGAAGAGCATTCAGGTGCTGAATCAGCGATCCTGGTGCGATATCGCTTGACGCGTTACAACCGCACGACAGCTGGCGCCGCAAAAGCTCCAACCTGAGGCTCTTATTGGCAGCCTGCATATTCTGGATATAATCCACCGCATAGTTGAGCATAGACGCCACGTCACCATGCGCGTCAACCACCATTCGTAGCCGATTCATTCCCTCACTAATCTTCTCCCTCCGGTGCTTCTCCGTCATGCTTTTTGGCTTGATCTGCTGTCCGAATCTTCCGCCGCCTTTCCCAGACTGCTGTCGGGAAACCTGCGAAGGACCTTTTCCAGCAGAACCTTCCGCGCCGGAAACCCCCGGAGTGGCAGCATTTTTAGCGGAAACCCCAGCGGAGGGGGCGGGAGACGCGGAAGCGGAACCAGATCCGCTCGAGCGTTGCGGTTCGTCGGAAAGGCAGCCCATGCCGTCGCCAGACGCGCTCCGCTTGGGCGAAGTCGCTGGCGCCGCGGCCGGCGCCTCCATGGAAGCCGCCGCGTTCGCGCCGTAGGTTGAACCGAGGCGAGACAGATTACCTCCAAACTTTATCTCCCCGAGACGCGGGTCGGAGGAATTTGACCTTTCCGCCGTTAGGGCTCTTCTGAGGGGCGAGCCGTCCAATGCCGAACGTGGCGCGTTGAGCGGAGCGCGCACAGGCGATCCGGGCCAAGATTGCGGAGAAGTCTTTACACTCTTCGCCGCGCGCAGCGGTATAGGTAAGGGAATGGCGTCGGAATGTTCCCGCCGCCTCGAATTATCCGCCGCCGCCTGAGCGGAGCGGAAGTGACTGGGAATGTGGGAAGGCTGATTAGCCGCTTGCGCGCCAAATGTAGCGCCTGCGAGAGTGGCCGGCGCGGGGGCGACGGAGGGTTGTTCGCCGCCAAGCGTCCCGGCGGGGCTGATGCCGGCGGCATTGCCGCCGCACGGCTCCTGTAACATCGCCTGTAGCTGAGCCAGGAATAGCTCGTCCTCGTGCGTCATAGGCGCGGACGGCACGGCGGGGGACGCGGCCGCGAAGTGGGTGTCCACGTCTGGAGACATTGTGGCAGCAAGCGCTGAAGGGAGTTGATTGTCACCCGATGCCGCAAGCAATGTGCTTTGTGCGCTGCCGAAAACGCCGCCGTTCACGCCGGGACCGCCGCCGCCGTTACCGCCGCAAGCCTCAAGGAGATGCTGGGCGAACCAGTTAGAACCATGAAAGCTAGCGGGAAACGCTCCGCTAGCTCCATCGGACTGAAAACACAAGGGAGACGTCATAGTGTGCGAGCTGCACTTGGCGAAAGTCAGAATGCTGGATGCTCCAGAATGCGGCTTCAGTTATGGGTTATGGTGAAAAAGTGCGGAAAAGCCAACTTGATAACGTGCTTCTGGATCACAGCTGCATTTATCTCGAGCGGAATGGGAAAAAAGGGAGCCAGGTGATGGAAGGCACGTAGCTGGTTTGTTCGGAAAGGTAGGACGCGGGTGACTTGAGTTAATGAATCTACCCGTAGAAACAACCGAGTTATAAAGTCGGGATTTCCGGGATGTAAGCCAAGCCGGGGGGGAGGAATTGATGAAAGGATGGATGGATGGGATTTGGCCGAATGGCGGTGGATTTCGCAGGGGCGAATCTGCAAGAGGGGAGTCACGGAAATTGCGGCAACGAGGCGGTCTTTCCGTGTTGACTGAGGCAGGGGGTGGTGTCACTGGCGGTTGACCGTGGGGACTGTTGTGTAAGCCGAATCTACACCTTGCATGCCTTGTGGAGATCTTTCGAACCTCCAGCTGTCCGTATCTTTGGAGGAAGGCTCAGCGACAGCAGGCAAGCTGGACAAGCTTTGTACAATTTAATGCTGACGAATCAATGGCAAGTCATTTCCACAAGCGTTATTATAAATGCCATGTCCTCTGGCAAGGTTCATGTGATGCTTTCGTCATCTAACGGTGAAGATGATGTCAGCATTTTATCAAGGCAAATTTGCGTCGGTCTCATCCCGTCCCGTCGGGAATGGGAAGTCAGGGTGTTCTCTGTACCTGGGCACAAAATGGGTCAACCCGGGTGAAACGTTTGTTGCCCGGGTGTACAGATTGGAACTGTACATTGCTGTAATACTGTGTATTAGAACGGAATACACTACGATGGTTTCTGTTGTAGTCTGCTAAATACTGTACGCCCGTTGTGGTGTTCGCGAACCAGACCTACACAGAACTTCGCATTTCACAGTTACTACAGCCGTGCTTGCTTGTTTTGTTCAGATGGGAGGGAGAGTCGTGTAGAAGACTCGTTATGCCCCCAAAGCAAATATACAAGTGTTGAAATCTGTCTGAAAGGGTACAGTATGCTATGCCCTTTGCCCAGGTTCCGCTAGGGGATGTCGTCGATTCAATCCACATCACAACGGGCCAAAAAAATACAGTACAAGGTCTAGCCCACCCTCAACTGTCTGTGGAGCATTAAACAGGCCTAACACTTCGAGGAAGCGCCATTGGCTAAAATACTTCCACCCAGCCGACTTTGCATGTCGTCATTTCGTCCATTCAGCGGAGGCCAATTGCTTCGACAAAAGGTCAAACGCGCACACTTCACACTGATCATCCCGTTTCCGGAGGGCTTGCACCGTCCAATGGTGGCGAACCCTTCAAGCAAATTTTTATATTGTAGTTCCACTCACTCCCTCCATTCCAGAGTTGTTTATCTGTCTTTGCAATACGGGTGTATGGAAAATAGTCAATGTGATCACTGCTTTCAGTGGTCGATTTGTAAGTTTGGGGTTCATCGATTTGTCCAGCTCAGTGGGAGCTACCAAAGCCACGAGGCTGCCTACCTTCGTTCTTCATGTTCACACACACAAACACCACGTCCTGCAGGTCCTGACAGCTTTGCACTGGAAATTGAGGTCCCATTTTGAACGTGGACGTATTGACAATTTCATGGGGCTGGAGCAAATCGAAATGCAGGTAAAATAGTACACTTGTCATTAGGGGTACCCCTGATTCCACAACCAGAATGCAAGTTCTACAGTTCACGTGGAAGCCATCCTCCACCTGTCGTGGCTGAGCTGACAGCTTGAGTCGGCGGCATCACGTTGGGTGAACAGATTAGATACTGTAGTGCCCATGACATGCAGTAGAATTCGGGCGGTTGCACTGCTGCTACAGTTCACTGAGGAAACCTGTTGCAAACGATTGTTTGCCAATGATTCTCGTATAGACACACCCGTTTCCTCTTTCATTATCTGCACTCTCGTGTATTGAGGCAGACATGATTTGGCCTCTATAGAGGGTTAAAATTTGATATAAACAGAGACATAAATATAACCGCATTATAATTAATGATTAAAATTATTTTTTTTACATTCAATCCCATAACTACATGTTATGCATGATATTCACTGTACATTATGCTTTTATATTATGCCCACATTGCTCTAAACTATGGAGATCTTGTTTTCTGACCCTGGGCCAAGAACGACGCCCAAAAGGTACTTGCAAGGTACAGTACTTGATTCTCGAGGCTGCTGGCAACACCCATGCGATCCCCGAATGGCTTCTGGGATAGGCTGGGCAGGGCTCGAAATGAAGCGGAACATACCCCTAGAGCGGCAGGTCACGCAGAATACAGAACAAAGTATCTGACAATACCGTTCTAAAACAGTCTGAAACCAACTGCATCCCTTATAGAGTTGAGGCTGTTTCTTCTCCTGCTTCAGCTACGGCTTCTGCAGCAGCAGCAGGCTGCTGCTGCTGGGATTTTGAACAAGGCATGTAGAACAGGAGAAGCACATCCATTCAGTTCTCCCGTGGGACCCTGTCAGGCCCAGTCTCTCTAGGCAGAGAGGGTAGCAACCATCCCAAAGGTGCATCAGCACCGTACATCGCGAAGCCTAGGGAAGGCTCTAAGTCCAGCATATCCTACGCCGTAGCCATCCTTAATCCGTCGTTATCCGTCGTTATCCGTCGTTAGCCGTCGTACACCGTCGTACACCGTCGTTAGCCGACACATACAGACTGCTTCTGTTAGCTTGAATTTTAGTCGACCAGGTTGCAGGACATTTGCTATCGAAATATCCGAATTTTTTTACTGTGATCGTGCTTGATATGGCTGGTGTTGACAACGACCAAGCTTCCGCTGCCGCCGCCTCCGCCGCCGCCTCCGCCGCCTCCGCTGACGCGAAGCCCGCTTCGGATAGCTCGCAGCCTGCAGCTTCTGAGACCAAAGGTGCACCCACCTCGTCACACCACATTCCGTTCCGACAGCGAGTTTATTGAGGATTTTAATATATGAAACTGAGGATGCATCTCTTCGTGTCGCAGTTTCTTCCCTAGTCGTAGCTGCAGAGTCCTCCTACGGCGGAACAGGAGACAAGGATGATAGGAACGCAGCTTTTTCTAGCATTATTTCCCACGCGTGCTTTTCTCGTGAAATTTCTTGCCTCCGTGGAATGCAAACACCTGGGAAATTAGAGACGTGTCTTTCGGCGCGCAGACTGACGTGGTTCTTGACGCAATATTCTTTACTTCATAACTTATTCGCATAACCTCCCTCTTGGATGACCTCGCACTATACCCGCTTTGGATTAGGGTTGTATTCGTTTTTTTTTTTCAGGTAAGGCGTTGGAGTGAATTTTCTTGAATTTTTGCCGTCAGGGAGAATCAAGATATGATTCCAAGGTCCTCGGATCGGCCGCGACAGATCAGAATGTACTAGACTATGATAAATCAAGTTAAAACGGAGTTTGTGCGTACTGTGCCGTTATCTTCGTCTACTCTATGATCTTCAAGGTTTAAGCCGGAAGCAAGATGGGTTTTAACTCCAGTTAAAACCGGCTGAAATTAGTTATTTCTTCAGATACAGTTTCGGGAGGCATCATAGCTTCTTTCAGGTCTCACCTGCATTTCACCGTAGAAGCACCCTCACCAGCAGATTTCCTGTCGTTCAGTTTTAAAAGGTCAGGCGTCTTATGTGAAGCACGGTTTTGTTGCTTACCGTGTCTGCTTCACTGAACGCATTTAGCTTCGCTGTTTCCCTACACGGTATTTCCAAGGCGTCAGCTTATTCCGCCACATTGTGCCTCACCAATCCCATTCCTTCTCAACCTTTCAATTTACACGAAGTGTAACAGCATTTGTTACGATGTATTTGGTGAATATGTTCCACTACTTCCAATCCCTGTTCATGAGTTCTGGGTGGTGTCGCACCTGAAAAGGCAAGCCGTCCAACCCCTTATCCTCTTCAAATCCCACCCTCTCTCTTACCTCCCCTCCCCTCTCCCCCCTCACTCCCCCTTTTTCCACCCCTCCTCCCCCCGCACTTCCCCTTTCCCCTTCTCCCCCCCCCCCCTTCCTCCCCTTCCCACCCTTCTCCCTTCTCCCCTCCCCAACGTATCCTCCTTCCGCCCCATCAACCCCTGATCGCATGCGACGCATGAATCGCGTGGCGTCGCACAGCAGCGCCGGCCGCCGTGAGCTTGAGGCCGGGGGGCGGCGGACTTGGCGGAGGGCTGTCGCTGCGCCCGGGAGGAGGCAAGCCGTCGGGGCTCTACGTGCGTCCGGGAGCGGATGGCTCGAGCGCGCAGGTTCGTTTTTGTTGGATTCGACTAGCAATTTAGATTGTTTTCTGCGCTCGAGAGTAGGCAAGCCGTCGGGGCTCTTCGTTCGCCCGGGAGCGGATGGCTCGAGCGCGCAGGTTAATCTTTGGCGGACGGATTGAAGTAGCAGTATAGCTTTTTCCGCGCGCCGTGGGGGCAAGCTGTCGGGGCTCTACGTGCGGGGAGGGGCGGATTGTTCGACACGCAGTTAATTCTAGCCAGCTGCATTCAGCAAGCCGTCTAGATTGTTCGCGCGCCGAGGGGGCTAGTTGTTGGGGCACTACGTGCGCGCGGGGTGTAGCACTGCAGCGCGCAGGTTCATCCTTGTTTAGGTGGCGTAGCATAAATTATGATGGGAAAAACACGTCGACTAGCCTCTGCCGCACGGATCAAGCATGCCGTTTAGTTATTTTCGCGAGCCGACGAGGCAACCATTCGTTAACTCCGAACACACGCCGTCGGTTAACACTGCGCACGTCCCTTGTTTGACACACCACCATCCTCTGCGGATCAGAGGATGGTTTCAGATTTTACCATCTCCCACCCTCGCCAACCGCTCTCTCCCCCCACTGCGTTGTTTTAGTGCTGTCTGTCTCATCCTCCGCTCGGTTGGAGTGGTTTGGGAGGGCAGCCGCATCACTCGTGTGCAGTCTCGCTCATCCTCGCGCTCTGTCTGTTGCCTCTTCTTGTGCTTCCGCCCCTTTCCCTTCCGTTTCGGTCCACCCGTGTCTCTCACAGGATGATGGTCCCAAGGGTCCTCGAGTCAAGTATTCCAGGGACGAGCTGCTGGCGTACCGTGAGGTGAGATGCGGTACCGTGAGGTGACATGGGTTATTGTGAGGTGAGATGGGTTATTGTGAGGTGAGGTGAGATTGGTCAGCGTGCGGCTAGATGGGGTACCGTGAGGTGAGATGCGGTACCGTCGTCCCCCCACCAACCCCCGTCACCTTCCGTCTTACCTCCCCCCACCCCCTTTCGCCCTCCCTCCCTCCACTACAGAATGCGCGGACATCCCCCCCCAAGGTTCTGAACACGGGGGCGACATCATCGCGTCGTACCCCCACCCCCCCAACCCAACCGCCAACTCCCTTTTCTTTCCGCCTTACCTCCCCCGGCCCTCCCCCCTCCCTTTTCCCCCTCTTGCAGAAGTGCGCGGACATTCCCCCCGAGATCCTGAACACGGGGGGGGACATCATCGCGGGGGGGCGCTCCTCGTCCGCCGGGGCGGAGCCCGACTGGTCCGCGCGCAGGAGCGCGCCGCCGCCCTCGCAGCCGTCGGGACAGCAGGTGAGAGCCGCGGACACACGCAGGTCAGTTTTGGTTCGGTTCAGAGGTCGACTCAGGAGTTAGGTGTGGTCAGTCACGGTGGAGCCCGACTGGTCCGCGCGCAGGTCGGCGCCCCCGCCCTCGCAGCTGTCGGGCCAGCAGGTGAGCCCAGTGCTTGAGTGCGCGCAGCAGGTGAGCCCAGTGCTTGAGTGCGCGCAGCAGGTGAGCCCAGTGCTTGAGTGCGCGCAGCAGGTGAGCCCAGTGCTTGAGTGCGCGCAGCAGGTGAGCACAGTGCTTGAATGCGCGCAGCAGGTGAGCCCAGTGCTTGAGTGCGCTCAGCAGGTGAGCCCAGTGCTTGAGTGCGCGCAGCAGGTGAGCCCAGTGCTTGAGTGCGCGCAGCAGGTGAGCCCAGTGCTTGAGTGCGCGCAGCAGGTGAGCCCAGTGCTTGAGTGCGCGCAGCAGGTGAGCGCAGTGCTTGAGTGCGCGCAGCAGGTGAGCGCAGTGCTTGAGTGCGCGCAGCAGGTGAGCCCAGTGCTTGAGTGCGCGAAGCAGGTGAGCCCAGTGCTTGAGTGCGCGCAGCAGGTGAGCCCAGTGCTTGAGTGCGCGAAGCAGGTGAGCCCAGTGCTTGAGTGCGCGAAGCAGGTGAGCCCAGTGCTTGAGTGCGCGCAGCAGGTGAGCCCAGTGCTTGAGTGCGCGCAGCAGGTGAGCGCAGTGCCCTCGCAGCCGTTGGGGGTGCGAGGTAAGAGTGGAGGGGCCGGGGGAAGCAGAAGCTGCTCACCCGGCCCTCGCAACCGTCGAGACAGCAGGTGTGCAAACTGCGCAGGTGAGGTTTGGGTTGAATCTAAAACCGACTCAAAATCCAATTATGGGTCTTCTCAAAGTATATTCTTTCAACTCCTTTGCACGCCTTTCCACCTTTCACGGTCTCCCCCTTTTCCATTCGTCCCCAACCCCCCACCCCCCCTCTTTTCCACCCCCTTCCATCTGTGCAGGCGCGCGCGCCCGAGGCCCCGGACAACCGCGACTGGCGCGCGCGGCAATCCCTCCCCCCGCAGGAGGAGCGCGAGCGCGGGCGCGGCGGCGGTGGCGGACGGGGAGGCGGCGGGGGAGGCGGAGGCGGGCGGGGAGGCGGAGAGCGGGATTGGCAGAACCGTGGGGAGCAGCAAGGGGGACAGCAGCAGCAGCAGCAACAGCAGCAGGGGCAGGCTGGGGCCGCAGGGAATGTGAGTGGCAGTGGTGGTAATGTGGGTGGCGGTGGTGGGAGTGTGAATTGAAGTGTGATGGGAATATGAATGGTGAGGTTTTGTTCTCCACACCCGTCCCTCCCTCCCTTCCCCCCACCGGTCCTCCCTCCCAACCTCTGCGTTTTCTCGCTGCTTGAAATGCGGAAGCCAGATTGCTGCAATGCAATCAGATGTGCGCGCAACTGTGCACCAGTCATTATTTCTATTCAACCCCGCTTCTGCGATTTTTTTCCCCTCTCCGCCCTCTCTCCCGCTCTCCTCTACTCTCCCTCTCCCTCTCCCTCTCCCTCTCCCTCTGCTTCTCTTCCTCGCACCCCCAGTTTGCCTTTCTTACCCCCTCTTCTCCTCTCCCTTTTCCCCCTTCTTCCCTCCGTCCTTCCCCTAAATTTCCGCCATTCCTTCCCCCATTCTTTCCCTCCTTCCTTCCCCCCCTCTCCGCCCGCCAGCTGGACGGCCCTGTGGTGCCGATAGTGAAGGCGGCCAAATCCTTGGATGCAATCCAAGGCGGCCAATCCGTGGATGCAATCCAAGGCGGCCAATCCGTGGATGCAATCCAAGGCGGCCAATCCGTGGATGCATGCACAAGTTTAAGCGCCCTCCTCTCCCCTCTCCCCTCGCTCCTCCCTCCCCCCTCTCCCCTCCCCTCCCCGTCCAGCTGGACGGCCCTGTGGTGCCGATAGTGAAGGCGGCCAATCCGTGGATGCCACGTCGCGGCGCCGTGGACGAGAAGGAGAAGGTTCTGCGAACCGTCAAGGGGTGAGGCGGGGGGGGGAGAGGCACGGGGCATGCACGGGGGAAGGTATGGGGGGAGGGATGAGGTGGGAGGTATGGGAGGGAGAGGCGGAAGCGAATAGGGGAGGCAAGGGGGAAATGAACTTGAAAGCGGAGCCATGTGCGAGAAGGAGCACATACCCATCATGTACTTACATGCTCTCCTCACCTCCGCGGCTCCGTCGACTGCCTGCAGGAGGTCATCTAACTCATCTTTGACAAGGCTGTGCACGAGCCCACCTTCAAACCCATGCCCGCTTCCTGTGTGCCCCATGCCCGCCCCATGCCTGACCCCTGCCTGTGTGCCCCGTCCCTCGCTCCTCCCCCCACGCCCCCTACCCCCCTGCCCCCCACTCCCCCCACCCCCTCTCCCCAGTATCCTGAAGAAGCTGACGCCCGAGAAATTCGATGTGCTGCTGCAGCAGATGCTCGAGTCGAGTATCACTTCAGCCGACCCCCTTCAGGAGGTCATCTCCCTTATCTTTGACAAGGCAGTGGACGAGCCCACGTTCTGCCCCATGTACGCCGAGGAGTCCACGTTCATGGGGCAGAGCGTGGGCTCCTGCGACAAGCCCTCCCATGCCTGACCCCTGCCTGTGTGCCCCGTCCCCTGCTCCTCCCCCTCGCCTCGCCCCCCCCCCGCCCCCCACTCCCCCCAACCCCCCCCCCCCCCCCCCCCCCCCCCCCCTTGCAGTATCCTGAACAAGCTCACCCCTGAGAAATTCGATGTGCTGCTGCAGCAGATGCTCGATTCGGGTATTACTTCAGCTGACCGCCTTCAGGAGGTCATCTCCCTTATCTTTGACAAGGCAGTGGACGAGCCCACGTTCTGCCCCATGTATGCGGAGGAATCCACGTTCATGGGGCAGAGCGTGGGCTCCTGCGACAAGCCCTCCCACGCGTGACCCCTGCCTGTGTGCCCCGTCCCCTGCTCCTCCCCCTCGCCTCGCCCCTCCCCCCCCCCCCCCCCCCCCCCCCCCCCCCCCCCCCCCCCCCTTGCAGTATCCTGAACAAGCTCACCCCTGAGAAATTCGATGTGCTGCTGCAGCAGATGCTCGATTCGGGTATTACTTCAGCTGACCGCCTTCAGGAGGTCATCTCTCTGATCTTTGACAAGGCAGTGGACGAGCCCACGTTCTGCCCCATGTACGCCGAGCTCTGTGACAAGCTCTCCCACGCGCTGCCGCAGTTCCCGGGACCCGAAGGGTCGGATAAGCCGGTCACGTTTCGACGCATCCTGCTGAACACCTGCCAGGAGGAGTTTGAGCAGGCGCTGAAGCTGCGGCAGGAGCTCAAAGGGCTCACCAAGGCGGAGCAGGTGAGGGTCTGGTGCGGTCTGGTGGGGTTGGGAAGGGTGGGAAGGGTGGGAGGGGTGGAAGAGTGGGAAGAGAGGTTTCGGGTTTTGGGGTTGGGGTTTGGGTCTCGTGCTGCTTTTGACGTGTGCTCGTGCCAGGCGGAGGAGAGGGAGGAGGACGTGCAGCGGCGGGTGAGGGCACGCACGCAGAGCGGAAGAGAGCAGAGCAGAGCAGAGTAGAGCACTAAGCAATGCCCCTTTGCTCGTTGCCCTCCCCATCATGCCACTCTGTTTCCCTCCCTGTGCCAGGCGGAGGAGAGGGAGGACGTGCAGCGAAAGGTGAAGGCTCACACACAGGGGAACGCTGAGTGATGTCCCTGAACCCCCTCTGCTCCCCTGTCCGCCCGTGCTCTCCCCTGCCCTTTGCTGCCCTCCACTGCCCCTCTGTTTCCCTGTGCCAGGCGGAGGAGAGGGAGGACGTGCAGCGAAAGGTGAAGGCTCGCACGCTGGGTAACATCCGGCTGATTGGAGAGCTGTACAAACAGAAGATGATTCCTGAGAAGATTGTTCACGCGTGCGCTCAGGTAATGTGTGGGACAGGTAGCATTTGCGGGCAGGTAGTATCTGACTAACCGGAGAGCTGTACAAACAGAAGATGATTGCTGAGAAAATCGTGCACGAATGCGCTCAGGTGAGAGGGTGAGAGGGCTGGTTAGTGGGGAACAGAACAGAGACAGGTGGGTGGAAGAGAGCATAGGTCGTAGGGAGATGGAACATCGGCTGATTGGAGAGCTGTACAAGCAGAAGATTGTTCACGCATGGGCTCAGGTGCTGTGTGGGGTAGGTGGCATCTGAGGCAGAGAACATCAGGCTGATTGTACAGCTGTACAAGCAGAAGATGATTCCCGAGAAGATTGTTCACGCGTGCGCTCAGGTGCGTTGGTGGTACAGGTCATCTGGGGCAGGTAACTTCTGGAGGGCAGGTAACATCCGGCTGATTGGAGAGCTGTACAAGCAGAAGATGATTCCCGAGAAGAACGTGTTCGCGTGCGCTCAGGTACTCTGTGGGGTAGGTGGCATCTGAGGCAGGCAGCATCTGATCTGAGGCAGGTGGCAGGTGGCGTGTTGCAGAGAAAGGTAGTATCTGACGCAGGTAACTGCTGGGATTACAAAGGCAGGTGACTGACTTGACGTACACTCGACTTGCATCCCCTCCTCCCCCCCTCCCGCCGCCTCTCCCAGGAGCTGCAAGGAGACAGCAAGACGGAGCCACCAGAGGAGAACATCGAGGCACTCTGCCAGCCACTGCCCCCTTTCCCCAATATTTCCGCCTCTTTTCCCATCTCCTCTCCCCCCCTTCGCCCCTCCCAGGAGCTGCAAGGGGACAGCAAGACGGAGCCTCCAGAGGAGAACATTGAGGCACTCTGCCAGCTGCTGCCCTTTCTTCCCACACTTTCCCCTTATTACTCCTTCCCCATCTCCTCCCCCACCTTCCCCCCCTCTCCCGCCCATGCAGGAGCTGCAAGGGGACAGCAAGACGGAGCCACCAGAAGAGAACATCGAGGCGCTATGCCAGCTGCTGTCCACGGCAGGGCGAGGCATGGAGGAGAAACCCGCCGGCAAGGCCAACCCGGTGCTGCTCAACGCCTACTTCGACCGCCTTAAAGCCCTCTCCACCTCTCCCAACCTCCCCTCTCGCATCCGCTTCATGTGCCGCGATCTGGTCGACCTGCGGTCCAATAAGTGGGTGCCACGTAGGAAGGAGCTCACTGCCAAGAAGCTGGATCAGATTCACGCCGAAGCTGAGGCTACGCTTGGGTTGAGGAAGGGCGCTGCCTCGCTCAGGGTCGGCGCAGTCTCGGGAGCCATGCCTGGAGGTCCGGGGATGATGTTCCCTCCCGGGCCTGGCTGGCCCGGAGGTCCGGGAATGCCGGGCATGCCAGGAGGCTTGGTGGGAGGTATGGTGCCGCCTGTGGATTTGGATGGGTGGGAAACGGTTTCGATTGGTCGGCGTGGGAAGAAGGATACTGCTGGAGCTGCCGGGCAGGCTCGGCAGGGAGCTGCAGCTGCAGGTTCGGTACCGATCATGGGGCCAGGCATGGGGCTCAAAATGGGCCCAGGTATGGGTCCGGGAATGGGAGGCTCGTCGGCGTTTATCGGCAAGCCGAGCGCTCTGATTGGTGCCAAGCCTGCTCCGGTCAGACCAGCCGAACCTGCGGCTCCCAAGCCTGCTGCCGCCCCCGCCCCTGCCGCTGCTAGCAACGGCCCAGCCGCAGCAGCAGCAGCGGCGAAGCCGGCAGCAGCAGCGGCAGTGTCAGGCACGTGGGATGATGTGGCTAAGAGAAAGTCTGAGTCTCTTCTTAAGGAGTTTTTCGCTGTGCTGGACCTTAAGGAGGCTCAGCTGTGTATGGAAGAGCTCGGATCAAAGGCATCCCACGAGGTGTCGTCCCGATTCGTTGAATTTGCGGCGAATTTCGCCCTGGAGGGAGGCAAGGAGAGGGAGTGCGTGGAGGTGGGGCGGCTGCTGTCCCACCTGCACTCCAAGGGCGCGTTCGCACACAGCGACAAGGGCGAGAGCGCGCTGACAGCTGGCATGCTCTCATTGGCCGAGCAGCTTGATGACCTGGCACTGGATGTGCCTCAGGCGCCGCGATTCCTGGGCGAGTGGCTGGGCGGTTTTGTTGCGGCAGGGGCCGCGGATTTTGGCTTACTCAAGTCGGTGTGTGAGATGTCGTATGACGGGGGGAGGAGGCGGGCGGTGGTGGTGGCGGCGGTCAAGGCGATTGAGGGGAGCGAGGCGGGGAAGGGGGAGGGGGTGGTGGAGGTGCTGAGGAAAGCAGGGGCGAAGGAGCTTAGTAAGGTGGTGACAGAGGAGGGGAAGGATGAGGCTGAAGCTAAGAGGCGGCTTGAAGAGGACTTGAAGAAGGCTGGATTGGCCTTGGAGGTGTTGACCTTGTGAGGGAGTGAGAGGCTTTCAATCGTGAGTGATAAGCCAAGAAACTAGTGAAAAAAAAAGTGGGGGAGGATTCTGGAGAGGCGAAGAGGTGGCTTGAAGAGGACTTGAAGAAAGCTGGGCTTGCCTTGGAGGTGCTGACCTTGTGAGGGAGTGGGTTTTAGAGTGAGAGGGACGAGTGAGAGGTGAAGCAGCGGCTTGAAGTGGATCTAGAGATAAGGCAGGAGTGGCGTTGGAGGCGTTGTTTTTGTGAGGGAGTGAATTCTGAGGCAGAGAGAAGGGGGTAGAGACTCGGAAAGATCAAGGTGTAGGGGCAGGAGGTGTGGAGGGTTGAAGATGGGAGGATTGGAAGTTGGGGCAGGAGGGAGAAGGGATGAGGATTCAAGGGGAAGAGTGGTCCTTGATTGTGTGTGAGAAGGTGGCTTACTGAGCAACTGAAGGTGTCTGATTACACGAGTTGTTTTCTAGCATTACAGTATGGGATGGTCGAGGCTGGTGGGCGGAAGGGCTACAGTTTTTTATGGGAGCACTTGTGTGTCCTTGGCAAGTGAAGTGGGCACTGGGTGTTTCTGCTGTTCTTGTTTTTGTGCTTCGCTTAGGTAGCTACGGCACTATTTCAGTGAGCAGAGAAGAGATGCTGAAGAGGTTAACAGTTCTTTGTACCCATTTTGGATAAACATCCTATGAGCTAAGTTCTTGTGACATCTTGTACAAGAAACAAACAAACTACCGTCTTGTGACCAAACCAACCGAAGCAACAGCAGTGGAACAGCAATGCTCGCAGCAGTAGCAGGGTGGCATGTGGGTTTGTGACACTGTTCACTTTTGATGGTTGCAGGGTGGCATGTGGTTTATGGCAGCACGGAGGGCAAACCGCAGCACAAGCGCCATGGGGATGCCTGCTCACATGGGGGCGTTGTGAGAGAGACACAGAGGAGGGTGGAAGGACGAAGATGGAAGGTTGGGGACTGTGCATGCATGGGGCATGGTGGCTTGTAGTTCACAGCAGCACGGAGGGCAGGCCGCAGCACAAGCGCCATGGGGATGCCTGCTCACATGGGAGTGAAAAGGGTGGGAGGGGGTGGGAAAGGGGTGGGGGCAAGGCAAGGGTTTTAGACAACTCAAAACAAGGCAGCACGGAGGGAAGGCTGCAGCACATGCGCCATGGGGATGCCTGCTCACATGGGACGGGAGGGATTGCAGGGCGAGGAGGGGGGAAGGACAGAAGGTGGGAGGGTGAAAGAGGGAGGAGGGCAGGGAGTAGCATGGAAGAAGCTTACTGATTAACACAGTAAGCTTTTCAGAGGGAAAACTTTTGAATCCACTTGTGAGAATGCTCAAAGGTATGTGGGGATGAATGAAGTATATGTGAGGGGTATTATCTTGTGCAATCTCACCTTGTGGGCTTGAAGCATCTGATACTCGCTGACTCGCACTCTGCTCAGCTGCCCACCAACCATCTGCCTCGCCCCACCGTCCTCCAAGTCCCCGCCCGATACTTTATCCCAGCTGCCCAGCGGCCTGCCCGGAAGAATTCGGCTGCCCGAGAACGTTCTTTGAAAGGGATGGGAAGGCTTTAGTGAGAGCAATGCGGCTGATGTGGGGGGGATTGGTGGTGGTGGTGCTACTGCTGCTGTTGTGGCTGCAGCTGCTGCTGTGTGTGGTGCTGCTGCTGCCGTTGATGCAAATGCTTTATCACAGTCCTGTGAAAAGAGAACTACTGCTCCTGCTGCTGCTGCTGCTGCTCCTCCTCCTGCTGCTGCTGCTGCTGCTCCTCCTCCTGCTGCTGCTGCTGCTGCTGCTCCTCCTGCTGCTGCTGCTGCTGCTGCAGCTCCTGCTGCTGCTGCTGCTGCTGCTGCGCCAGGGGCTGTGGGCAGCGCGAGAGGCAGGTTCCTCCAGAAGTGCCGCTGAGAGGGGTCCTGAAGAGCAGGGCTGATTCGAACCACACTGGCTTGAGTCTGTGCGTCCGAACCGACAGGTGTAGCCACAGTCCCCAACTTCCCTTGCACCCCACTCACCCCATTCATTGCCCCATCCACTTTCATGTGCTCCTCCTCCTGCCGCTCCAGCCACTCACTGATCTGCTTCAGTCCCCTGGCAGTGCCCTCACTCCCTCGCCCCCACTCCCCCACCCCAACACTCACGCTCCTGTGCAGCACTGCAGCACTTGCAATCGGCCCAGACTCCCCTCCGGCGTCGGTGCTGAAGCCTACAAGGCTTGAAACGGGCGCAGAATCCCCACTGGTATGCAGCCTTGTAGCAACAGAGCTCAGTACAGAGACAGGGCCAGCCTCGGTGTTCAACCCTGCAAGGTGTTTTTGAGAACCTCGTTTGTGAGAGCTCTCAAAAAACCTTGCATCTCCCGAGGTGGTCTCGCCAGTTGCTTTCGGTAGCACCACTGCCACGCCTCTCTGCTGCCTCTCTTCTGCCACCACTCCCCTGTGCATCTCCATTGGTGCTCCCATTTGGCATCCGTCATCCTTACCCTTCTCCTTGTCTCCCCTCCCTTCCTCTTCCCCTTCCTCTTCCTCTTTCTCTTCCTCGTCCTCGTCCCCCCTCTCCTCCTCTCCTGCTTGACCCCCTCCCTTCTCTCGCCCCTCCACAGCTCTCGCATTTCCCAAGCTCTCCCTGGCCTCTTGCAGAGGTTCGGAAGGGTTGAGACCGAACCTGGCCTCACCTCCCTGCTCCTCTGTGTCAACCCTTCCTCCTCCAATCCCTCCTCCACTTCCTCCTCCACTCCCTCTTCCTCCTCCTCCCAGTAACCGCCTAGCAGCCATCTCCCTCACCATTCTCTGCTGCAGCCTTGCTGCCTCGCCACTGCTCTCACATGTTAGAAGCGCCCTTCTTGTTGCAGCTACACCCACAACTGCTTTTGTTGCTGCTCCTGTCCTCGCTAACTCTCTTGCTGCTGCTAAACCCACACCCTCACTTGCTTCACTCTTCCTTTCCACGCTTGCCCGTACACTGCTCCCATTCACACGCCCATCCAAGCTTCTCCTTTGCTGCACACCCTGCCTACTCCCATACCTCTCATCCCCGCACACTTCAGAACCTCTCTCACTCCCTCTCTCACCCCCTTTCTCACCCCCTCTCTCACTCTCCCTCTCACCCCGTAAACCAAATACCTCCCCTTCCTCCTCATCCGCCGCTCCTCTCTCCCTTGCAGCCTGAGTCTCGCGCCTCTCTCTCCTCGCCCTCTCAAACACCTCCGAATAAGGAAATTCCTCCTGCTCCTGCTCCTCCTCTTCTCTCCTTTCCACGCCACTGCATCCAGAACTGCCCCTGTGACTGCTGCTATGGTCACTGCCATAGTTGCCGCTGCAGTTGCTGTTAAAGTTCCCGCTGCTGTTGCTGTATTTACTCCTGCCAGTGTGTGCGCTGCTTCTGCTGGTGCGTGCACTCCTGTCGCTGCTACCCCTAGACTCTGTCTCTGCGTTCTCCCTCCTCCCTCTGCTCTGGATACTGTCCGTGTACTTGCTGTTGTTGCTGGAGTGGCTGTTGTGGCTGGTGTAGCCAGTATGTCTGCTGCTATAGCTTGTGTGGCTCGTGTTGCTTCTGGTGCAGGTGCTACTGGTTTCACTCCTGCTGGTGTATCCGAGGAGGGGGTGATGGTGCTGCTGGTGGTTGTGGTGGTTCCAAAGCTTGCTGTTGCTGCTGCCCATGCTGCTAGTGCTGTTCCTGCTGCTGTGACTGCCGGTATCTCTATCTGCGCTGTAACGACCACCATTGTACCCGTTACGAGTGGACTCACTATTGTATATCATACGGTTGTTGTCGTGTTTTGGGTCCAGCCATTCACCAAATTTCGGTATGACTGTTCGCTTGCTGTTGCTTGTCATCCCACTGCTGCTCGCACTGCCGGTCGGACTATAAGGGGTACGGAGTGTACTAATGCTGCCGGTGGTGTCGAGATTCCCACTTGGGTTGCTGATGTCATCATCGGTGTAGCTGACATCATCACGATATGGCACACTGGGATTGGTTAGATTCCTGCTGCCACTGATGGTGCTGCTGACGTGGCTGACATCCTTACTGATGTGGCTGACGTAACTGCTGACGCAGCTAACATCATTGCTGGCATTGCTGATGTCAGTGCTGACAAAGCTTGCATCCGTGCTGGTTCCTAGAACCTTCCTACCACTGCTGATCCACCCATCCCTACGAGAACTATCCGAAGCTCTTTTAGCGCTGCCGTACCTCCTCTTCCCCTCGTTACTGTCACATGTTGACGAGACCCTGCTGCTGCTCCCCACCCACCTGCTACTGTCACTCCCGTTATTGACACCACTCCCTTTAGTGTCACGACCGCTGCTAGCCTCGGAATTGCGGCTGCTGGTCCTCCACGAACCAAACGGGCTGCCGAACCTGAGGGGGCTCCCGAGCCTGCGTGGCGACCATGCTGACATGGACGCCCTGCTGACTTGGCTTGAGGAGGATGTTGATGACTCAGCGGTGCTGTCGACATGGCTTGAGCCGGCGCTGATCTGGCTGGATCCCTTCCTGACGTGGCTGTACCCCATGCTGGCCTGGCTTGACATGCTAACTCGACTCATCTCATCCATCAGAAGCTTCCCACTCACGTCCATCGAATATTTACCTGTCAAGCTGACAGAATCCGTCAAGGGATCCGTCAAGCAAACAGAATCCGTCAAGGGATCCGTCAAGCAAACAGATTCTGTCAAACCGACAGAATCCACACTCCTGGCCGACAGAATTCCACCAGAATCCGTCTCCTCAGCATCGGCCACCCCAGCCTTACTGCTAGCCGTCAGGAAACTGACCGGCCGGCTGGTTTTGGCCGTCAGGTTAGACCGCACTCCACCACTGCTCCTGCCACCCCACCCGCTCTTACTCAAGCCCTGTCCCATCCCTGTATGCCCCTGCCACCCCTGCTTGCTGCTGCTGCTGCTGCTACTGCTGTTGCTGCTGCTTTCACGGTGTCTCCACAGGGACATGTTGGCAGGTGTCTTCTGGGAAAGGCTGCTTCTGGTGATGGTTGACCCTCC